CACTTTTTTGTGATGTTGGCATCCTCAATAAAGATTAACTATTATTATAATCATAATAATAAAAGTTCCCATTTTACCTTTTACAAGGACGCCTCTTTAACCCACGCATCCGTGGCATTTCGTAAGTGCTACAGCTTGTAATGGTATTCTTTCTCAAATGCAATCAATCTTCAACTGTAGAGAGATCCTTAGTGCAAACACTTCGACAAAACTTTGAAGAATTAGATGAAATTTACCTGTTGTGACGTAAACAAGATGCGATTGCTGAAAGGAGACTGGTACTACATACCACAATTCCGCAGGGGAACTTGACATGTTTCGATCTCATTCGGCAACCCTGACGTTTTACAATATATTAGTCATAAAATTTTTTCTAGATCAGGGTGATCACTAGATTATTCTAACGGCAAGATGAGTGAAAAGCATTTTGGATCACACTTGAAGACCAGCGAAAAGGTTTGTTCCAACACCGGATTTGTCTTGATGCTAGTATTCTGCCCGAAGAGTAAAATGAAAAGAATGACAAATTTGCCAACAATTTACGTATGTCGTGTTCGAGTCATAGAAAGTGACCGCTTTTTTAAGTTTTTAATTTCGTTATGAAAAGCGTAATATTCTAAATTACAGCATATGAACAACTTGTCTCAGTGGGTACTGTTTTGCGCTGATTAATGCTAAACTCCCTTCACTGCATTAATCGATCGCGAATAAAGATCTAACGAGTTGATCAATTTTAAACAAAATTTAAATGTCTTTCATTCGAAACAAGAATTTGAGAAGAACTCAGATGATTCGATCTCTATAATAATTTATTTTTGCGCTTTGGTTATCTTTTTGAAAAATATCAAATTGATTGTAATTGTGATCGTGGCTTTACCTCGCTCAATTCAATACACTGTCCAGCTGCCGAAATGACACTCAATTTTTGTAGCAGGAAGTAAAGTTTAAGAACACCTGTAATATACGTAACTTGTATAAGAGCCACAGGGTTTCAAAAAATTTCGTTTAATCATTTATTTGCAACAGAAAAAGACATGAACAAGAGTACTCTATTCTAGGACTTATCACTTCCAAAACCATATTCTCTATTACAAGAGCCCTAAAGTGTACCCTTTTCTAGCCAAATGTAAAAGTACCACAGGTCTGCCAAAATCATTTATAATTTTATGTAGCAGGTAAAAAAAGTTTTCAATCTTTAAAACTGTCTTATAATGTCAAATTGATTTTTTTTTATGAATGTGAATGCAATATATAGACTGAGTAATGATTATGAGGGGCAAAGATTAATTAGATACAATGTATATATGAAGTTCATATATTTTGAACTGCGGTATTAGATACGTATGATGCATGATCCTCGCAGTAGAGAGCGCTATTTATGCAATAGCGAAAATCAGACCTGAAAAAAAAAAGTCCTGTACGGGATTCGAACCACTGACCTCTGCGATACTAGTGCAGCGCTCTACCAATTGAGCTAACAAGCCAACTGGGAGCAGGCCGTTAAGTTGATTCGTAATAAACCCGTGATGATAAATCAGATACAATGTATATATGAAGTTCATATATTTTGAACTGCGGTATTAGATACGTATGATGCACGATCCTCGCAGTAGAGAGCGCTATTTATGCAATAGCGAAAATCAGACCTGAAAAAAATCAGGCCTGTACGGGATTCGAACCACTGACCTCTGCGATACTAGTGCAGCGCTCTACCAATTGAGCTAACAAGCCAACTGGGAGCAGGCCGTTAAGTTGATTCGTAATAAACCCGTGATGATAAATCAGATACAATGTATATATGAAGTTCATATATTTTGAACTGCGGTATTAGATACGTATGATGCACGATCCTCGCAGTAGAGAGCGCTATTTATGCAATAGCGAAAATCAGACCTGAAAAAAATCAGGCCTGTACGGGATTCGAACCACTGACCTCTGCGATACTAGTGCAGCGCTCTACCAATTGAGCTAACAAGCCAACTGGGAGCAGGCCGTTAAGTTGATTCGTAATAAACCCGTGATGATAAATCAGATACAATGTATATATGAAGTTCATATATTTTGAACTGCGGTATTAGATACGTATGATGCACGATCCTCGCAGTAGAGAGCGCTATTTATGCAATAGCGAAAATCAGACCNCTTCCAGTTGGCTTGTTAGCTCCATTGGTAGAGCCCTGCACTAGTATCGCAGAGGTCAGTAGTTCGAATCCCATACAGGCCTGATTTTTTTCAGGTCTGGTTTTCGCTATTGCATAAATAGCGCTCTCTACTGTGAGGATCATGCATCATACGTTAAGATGGATTAATTAGTGAAGTGCTAGACATAGCTTTCCTTAGTCCTTCTACCAACATCATTACCAAACTTTGTTATCATTATGACAGTCATAGAAATGGCAACGAAGAACGTGAGAAGACAGCTATAGTTCTGAACACTCAGACACTTACCCTTCCTATCAGAGTAGTGTTCAGTAGAAACTGAGAAAAATCTACATGGCAAATAGATGAAATTTGGCAACTGTATTCTTAGCTCTTTGTCATTAATGCACAGCTTTTTCTTGTGGTGTACATTTTCCTCAGGTGCTGAAATCAGTAGTGAAACTGTTTGTTCAGATTTCAACTCCTAACTATAGTATGCCATGGCAGATGAAGCGACAACAGCAGGTCTTTGGATCAGGGTTTGTGATTTCTGGAAGGAGAATTCTCACCAATGGACATGTAGTAGCCTATCAGAAGTCTGTAAGTAGTAGTAGTTCTTTTTTTTTGGGACAGACTTTTAACTTTTGATTGAAATTAAGTAATACTTTATCAGGAATTTACCTTAAATCATGATGCATGGCAGCAGCTTTGTATTTTGGTAGTTATAGCCTTCATGTGTTATTTAGGTTCTGTACTGAAAGGAAATGAAACATTTTGTGAATCTTTAATATCTCTGGCCTTAAGAATTCATATCGCTGTAGCTTCTTTGATTTTTAATATTAAGTCTAATCTATTTTTTAGGTGCGAGTTCGTAAGCATGGAGATGCTAAGAAGTACAATGCCCATGTGATTCATGTTGGCCATGAGTGTGATATTGCCATGGTAACTATTTACAATTGCTTTTGAACCTTTGAACATAAATTTTCAACTTCAAGTAAAGATATGGGACATAAATACAAAAGTGAAAGGTCTTTAAAATTGATTAATTGTTAACAGTTCACTGACTCCTATAATTTCTCAAAGCTGGGTGTAGTAGATGAAACCTTCTGGGAGGACCTATGTCCTCTGGAATTTGGTGAGATACCTGCCCTTGAAGAGGATGTGGTTTGCGTTGGTTTTCCAACTGGTGGAGATAATATAAGTGTCACACGAGGAGTTGTCTCCAGAGTGGAAATTCAACGTTATGCACACTCTGCTGTTGAACTTCTAGCAATTCAGGTTAGAATTATTTATATTATGTGTCAAATGTGTGTTGATGTACAATGTATAATTATCTATGCCTTGACATGATTTTTTAACTATTTGCTAAGTTGTTAGTTCTAACAATCATAATTTTCATCTGGAAGTTTGAAAATTAAATTATTTAAAGAAGTTAGCTCAAGAAGCTCAAGGACCAGTCAGTGAGTGCTCAATGACCAGTCAGTGAGCCGCTATATACGTGGCCATCATTTAAATAGTAGACCTGCTATTGGGCCCCAAACTTAAAAATGGAACTGTCTTCCTCAAACCCTAGTACTTGAAAATTCATATTAGAACAAGGTCCTCTTAAATCTGATGAAATACTTATCTAATGTTATTTCTCATAATGGAAAGATTGATGCAGCAATAAACAGTGGTAACAGTGGTGGACCTGCCCTTCAGGATGACAAAGTGATTGGAATCGCTTTTGAAACACTGGATAATGCAGAAAACATTGGATACATTATACCTGTGAGTCATTCATATTATCCTTTTTACTTATTTTGTTTTAGTCAAATTACCTTGTTTCTTATTGTCGGTATAAATAATGTGTGGAGGACTTACTACATTTAAAAACTCAATTTATGACAAATATCAACCTTTTCAGGTAACAGTAATAAAACATTTCCTGGGGGATATTGAGAAAAGCAGTACATATAATGGTTTCTGCCGACTGGGAATCAAATGGCAGCCAATTGAAAGTGAGCACATGCGGCACTACTTTCAGCTGTCAGCAGAACAGACAGGGGTCCTTGTTACCAAGGTCCTTCCTTTGTTCAGCTGCAGCAGTGTGCTGAAACGAGGTGACGTCCTTATGGCAGTGGATGAAGAAGTGATTGCAGACAATGGAACAGTGAGTTAATTAACTTATATTTAGTAACCAGTACCAATGAAATTTTTTAATGGAGATGCTGCCAGTTGTAATGAACAATGTTTTATCCATAAGAGAAGTTATGGAAAATGAAGAAAAGTAGTACTATTTATGGCTGTTTCAGAACATGTTTGCCAGCTCCTTGACATGTATGGCATGTCATATATGAACTTGACAATGGTCTTTTTCACCATTAAGTTTCTGTGGCTCAGTGGTAGTACAATGGAGTGTGGAATCTGAAGATCTGAGGTTCGAATTCCTCATGGTACTCAGAATTTTTTGTGATTAGATGAAAAACACATTTCTCCATTTCATCTCTGAACTCCAAAATTTAACCGTCTTTCATATTTTATTTACAAGGATTTATTGTTTGGGAATTTTATGAGGTAGAGAATCAATCCAAATTTAAGTAATTGTGGTTCAACATGAGCCTGAATGGCCAATTGCAATGCAAGCACTAAGAATCCACACTCTTATTTGTTAATTTCCATCTTTCTTTCCTGGTGCTAGAGTGGTACAAGGCCATAATGTAGAAGGTTTAATTTAATGCTTTATGCTCAAGATCTCATAGAGAATACTCCATTTCATGTGCTACACATTCCCCTGCCAATTACTTGGAAGAATTTGGTGTTTGTAAATTAGCTGTGTCAATATCACCCTCTATCTGCTAAACTCATCCATTCTCACCATCTGTTAGCTAGACAAGATGTCCTTATTGTAGAGAGAAGTTAGCTTAAATCACTTCTTGTGGTTCTTGTTGATTCAGACATATCCAGATATTTTCATATTTTCGTGTTTCACAAGCATCATGCCTTAAAACGAGGTGAACGTCAATTTTGAAATTAAATTTACCTTAGAAAAAAAATTACCTGCGACATATATACTACACTTCTGCCGAACAGGACTTGAACTTTGTAACATGTGGCTGTTGTTTATCAGTTGGGCCAATCACTTGTTGAGCAGTGTTTTTGTTTTTGTTTAGGTTCATTTTCGCGGTAATGAACGTATTCTCTTTGACTACAAATTGTCACAAATGTTTATTGGTGAAATCTGCAAACTGAAGATTCTAAGGCAAGGTCACGTCATACAGGTTGAGGTGACACTGGATCTCATCACATCACTTGTACCAACCCAGCTTTATGACAAAAGACCAAGGTAATTAGTAGGAATTCTTAACTAGTCATTCTGAGTCATGGTACAATGTACTCGCTTGGTAATATTAGCTCACTGAACTCTGTATGTAGGCCTGGGTTCGAGCCCTGACTCCGACATTGTGTTGTGTTCTTGGGGTAAGACACTTAACTTTCACAGTGCTTCTGTCTAGCCAGAGTATAAATGAGTACTGGGGAACTGGATTCGCTATTTAACTCCCTCACTAACATTTCTGCCCTTAGTTACCTCGTGTACGCTGGCCTCGTGTTTGTGTCTCTCTCCCAACCCTACATGCAACATCAGTACGGAAAAGACTGGGCACGAAAGGCACCCATAAGGCTCTGCGATCGTGTTCTTTACGGTATTTTGAATCAAACGGGGCAGGAAGTCATTTTGCTTAGTCAGGTGAGTAAGAAGATAACTGTATTCTACTAAACAGGAAGATCACGTGACTCACGCCTTACTGAAGCTAAAACTTTGGAGACCCATTCTTGATTGGGTTTAGTTTTGTATCCTCTTGGTGAGGAGTGTGAGGTCCTTTCGACAGTTCAGTGAAATAAAATCAATGTTTTGGAAATAGTATGGGAACTTCAGTTCGATATTTCAATCCGAGCTCAGAATTTATCGCACTCTATCATTTATTTTCTTCACGTTCAAGTCCTCCAAGCAACATGCTGTTTAAAAAAAGCTTGCCCTTAGAGAGTCTTAGAAGAAACGATTTGGAAATACATGAGACAAGAAATATGAGTCGGTTTCTATCACTTACTATTTCTTGTCTCCCTCATAGAGTATAAAGAAACACTTCTGGATATTTCATGTTTATATTTTTTCAGGTTCTCGCATCGGAGCTAACAACAGGCTACGAGACAATGGCGAATTTGCAGCTTTTCAAAGTTAATGGGAGACCAATTCTGAATCTAAAGCATCTTGCATCTGTTCTTGATGAAATCACCAAACCTTTCAGCAAACCACAAGACTCACAAGCGAAAGGCGAAACAACGGTCAGAACTGTGACATCAGAAAGCTCTGTGGAGGACAACAGCAACACAAAGCAGGGCGAATTAACTGTTAAGAGTTGTGAAATACACAAACGCCATAATGACAATATAGTCCCTTTAAAAGAAATCACAACTATTGACGATACGGATGGTCGGTCATGCGCCAAGCTTAAAACTTTAGAGGACGTCAAGAAAAACAGTGAGAGGGGAAGTAGTGTCTGTGAAATTGACGTCCATCCTATGTCACTTTACCGGACAACGTCCAAAGGATGCAGAAAACAAGATTTCACTCAAACTGATTTACGTTCCTCAGACGCCTTGTATTTATCGACGACACAAGCGACCGATATGACTTCTGGTGTGGATGACGATCCTACCCTTCTAAACAGAGAAGATTTCGTGCATTTTGAGCTCGATAAGGATAAAATAATTGTGTTACATATTCCAACTGCTTATAACAGTGCACCAGAAATACTACAACAATACGCAATAGGTCAATCTCGATCTAATGACTTGCCTCCACCACCTTAATTTCACGTGCTGAACACGTGAATATGGGAGGTCACGAACTCTGCTACACCTTCTGTGATGTAAAGCATTGCAGAACTCAGCCCCTTTAATAAAGTGTAACCTTATCTTGGTTGCCTAACTCTGTCCTGTACCAAAGGAGAGTCGAAAATCTTTTTAAATCCTACCCGATTTTGAAGTCTCGAAAACTTTTCAGAATTCAAATTTTTAAAAGAACGTTTGGTATATAAAATGACAGTGTGCCGAGTGCAGTGTTTGATCATTGACCAGTTACATTGTTAAATTGATATTGACATTTTACGTTTTCGTCTTTGGATAGCACGATACAAACGTAGGATAACACTCAACGTATTATCGAGTACGGAGCTGGATCTCCATTACTGATAAATGAAAAAAGAATGCAACATTACTCCCGAACTTTACTGGTCATGTTGAAAAGGGCAAGACTCATTTCTGATATAATTTCTTATTTTGTGAGTTGTGAAAACGCAAAGTAAGAGGATGTTAAAATCTCTATTAAGCAACTGGAAGGGAATAAGCGAGGACAGAATGATTAAATGTAACAAAAAATAATTAGTTTTTGTTAACATGTATATTTATAAGTAAGATGTGCATTTCATTTCTTATATCTTTAACAGTAGAGTTTTTCACTCCGCTTCATAGGTCTTCATATACTTAGTATGAAATGGGTGAGGGTGAATGACTTTTTATTCTTTTGTCAGTTCCATAGTTTCTTTTGTTTTTTTTTAATCATCCCGTATGAAAGAAGGTGAAGTTGAGTAAAATTGTGGGCGCCAGCTACTCGAAGAGACCTGGGGACGATCAGAGTTTGGAGTTAAATTAAATATCTTAGTAACGTACAACGATGACTGGTTCTGTGAACAAATGTATGGGAAATTTAAAAGCTAAACTTATTATTGAGATAGGAAAATTTTCCTATCATGCAATAAATCATTTTCCTTTAAATACCGCACCCAATGTCTAGAGCAGTATGGAACTCTTAGCTCTTTACTACTTTCTCATAATGCTTGAATTTCAAAAGGCGTGTTCGGATGTGTTTCGTCCTTCACGACCTAACGGGGAGTTTACACGTGTTTCCAATTTCTACTCCCCCCCTCCCTCCCCACTCCCTCCTCCCTCGCCATAAATCACGCTCTAATTGCGTGTTTGGATGTAAAGCTTGTTGGTAATGGTTCCAGACGGGTGGATCGTGGGGAGGACAAATGTCTCTCCATACCACTCTCCACCGGTGGCCTTTCCACAACCACTTCCACCCTTCCGTTGTCAGCGGTATTTTTTTCTAGTCTTTTTCCACTAGCGGTCATGTGAACTTCAGTGGAGTTGGATGGTGAGGTATGTTCACTTTCAGCCCCACGGCTTCTGTATGACGAGGCAGATTCTGCCAACTTGTTACCAGGTCCTTTGCGCACACCAGCCTTGGCAAGAATGTTAGTCACGTGATACTTTTCCTGCGAAAAAGAGGAAGGAAAATTTAGCTTTTATTACAGAATGATCATTAATGAAGAACTTTCTTCACAACGTACAACGAAAAAGCAAAGTAGCGGTTGGAGGTAACAAACTAGCTGTGTCACGGCTTTCGTCCCAAGAAAACTTAAGCCAAACTTTTCTAATTTAGAAATTTCGCCTATGCAATTACTATTTGTTCAATTTTTTCTATTCCAAACAATCATTCTTTATTATATTATTATATATTATATTACGTCTCTTTACACTGTCATTCCTAATGGCGAAGGCCTTCTGGCCCTTAAACATTTTTTTGATCAACGTACTGTTAGGGAACCTAAATCTGAAACACTACTACGCTTAGCCTAACTAGTGCTCACACTCAATTGTTTTTCATTCGGGGACAACTTCTTCAAACAAACCAATGGTGTAGCCATGGGCACCAAAATGGGACCTAGCTATGCCAATCTTTTTGTAGGTTTTGTCGAACACCAATTTTTCAGCCAATACAACGGCTCCAAACCTGAACTCTACGGTCGCTACATCGACGACTGTATCGGCGCTACCTCCTCTACCAGAGAGGAGCTGACTCAATTCATAACCGCAGTCAATTCTTTTCACCCGGCTCTGAAATATACCTGGGAAATTTCTGACAATTCTTTATCCTTTTTAGACATCAAAGTTTCAATTGAAGGCAACGGTTTATGCACTAGTGTGTATTACAAACCTACAGACTCGCATAATTACTTGTTATATTCGTCTTCGCATCCATCTCACGTTAAGAATTCCATTCCTTTTTCTCAGTTTCTAAGACTTCGTCGTTTATGTAGTGATGACTCTGATTTCCACCACAAATCAGAGTCAATGTGCCAGTTTTTCGATAAACGTGGTTACCCTGTTTCTGTCGTTCAAGCGGGTTACCACCGCGCCCAACTTATTGATCGACATTCAGCACTACAAACGTCGCATAAGGAAGATTCCGACCGCATTCCATTCACTCTCACGTTTCACCCTCACAACCACTCAGTTAAATCCATCATTCTTAAAAACTTTAAATTACTTCAAAACGATCCAGAGACAAGCACTATCTTTTCGCAGCCTCCGCTCATTTCATTCAAACGCGACAAAAACATAGGCAATTTTTTGGTCAGNCAGAAGACTAGGCGACCGATTTAAAGAACACCTTCGCGACGTGGAAAAAAATGACAAGGACACATCGAAACCAGTCGCTAGACACTTTAATTTACCTAACCATTCTAAGCAACATATGGCAATCTGCGGTCTTTCCTTACACTTAGGTAGAACAGAAAGCCGTAAAACTCTTGAACAAAAGCTCATCTTTCAAACCGGCAGTCTAAATCCCACAGGGATCAACGAACGCTTTTCATTCCACTAACGCTCGAAACATCAGCTTTTGTAATCGTTACGGTGGCCAATTTACCATTTCAACTTTGTTAACATCTCCAAATTATTTCGTTACCCCCACCGACGCAGCCCCTAACAGTTTCTTTAGAAACTATCAGCCTTTAATCATTCTTTATGGGTTGATCTCACCTAATTGGTTACTGTCTCCCTTTAAAACTCATATCATAAGGGTTTCATACTATTTGAAAAACAAATCAAAATTTTACGACCTTGCACCTTCAGCTATGTCATTGTAAAGTTGTTACCTTGGACAGAGCCATCTTAACATCGGCAGGTACGTCAGGTATAATGTAGGCAATCAGGAACTTAATTGTAAACACAATGTGCTGCAGAGAGAAGCAAATCTTACAAGTGAGATTTTCCAACATACTTAAGCATTGAGGTTTTGGCATATTCATAACTTTCTCTAATTTACCCCTGGTACAAACAAAAAGAAGCGATGATGGCCTTACCTCAAATCCAATTATTAGCCAAAGTCTGCTTAGCCCTACTACATGTTCAGTGACGACGATGACCTGTTCAGTTGTGTTCGTTGTGTTGTTGAATATGGTTTCAGTTGTGTTGGTCTTGGACGGCTCGCCTTCCCATGATCGACCGTACGATGACGTAAATGCTACCAAAAACGAGTTTGTAACCACGCCTGCCACATTCAGAAATTCTAAAATGCTGTACCACGTGCCTTAGGAAGACACAAGGGAAAACGTTACAGAGAAATCATTTGTCTTAAAAAGAGCTATTTCTTTGAATATATTTCAGAATTAATCCCAGTTCAGCCTTAAGGTGAAACCAATACTCGTCTCCGGTGTAAAGCGCACGAAAACTATCAGCATGAATTAGTCTTGGAGCAAGAAAAACAAGACAAAGAACGTGTTGCAGGCGGAGAAAGCAAAAGGGTAAAAAGAACAGTTAGGATTATAACAATACTAACCTATGTCTTCAGCCCTAAAAGCCACCGGCCGCCTGTTCGTCCATAACAACCTTCTGGCGTCCACTTTCATGTCGATGGCATTGGTTAACAGTGCAATCAGTGGGGCCAGCGGAAACGCTGCAGCAAAAAGCTGAAAGGATAACGCATTTGAAATTAACACCGATGTAAGCAAAATATTAAGATATTTTGCTGATCTTTCACAAAGGAGTCTTGATTCTTACCATGAGGTATCCGTACTGTAACACTGTGGAGATAAAAGCAACGATAATAACCGTCAGAAACGTTAATCAAAGCATGGATAGAATAAGGTGGTTCAGCAGGATAAAAATGAATAGCTGTTATCTTAAAAAATATTCAATGAAATTCTGTAGCAATAACTAGGAAACGACAGAGTTATAGGCCGAGCGTACCTTTCTCGTTGTATTCAGAGAGCGTAAAATCTCCAAGCTCAGCTTTATTCCTCTCCCTCTCCAAGTAATCTTCTACACGGACTGTGATTTCACCGCTTACTGAAACTTGGTTGCTACAACATTTTCTCTTCCACAGGCTCACCAACCACCTGTAGAGGCAAAGTTAGAAGGTTCCAGCAGTTGTCGATTGAGGAGGCCGGAAGTATTCTGGGATTGCGCTGGTTTAATCTTACTTCGTTCTGTGATTGGTCAACAAAGGACAACAGCAGCACAAAACAGGGCGAATTAAGTGTTAAGAGTTGTGAAGTACACCAATGCCAATATGAAAATATAATCCCTTTATCTCTGAACCAATCAGATGCAAAACTATAACCAATCGTGAGTTGGTCCCTCGCGTTTTCCCGCGTTTTTTCCCGTTTGCTTATTTTCATTACGAGCTTTCATTGGTTTCTCAACAACAAAACGTTCAATACAGATTAAAAATTTTAGCATTGATCATACTCACGGTTTGATGACATCACTGAAGAGTTTGGGAAGAGGTTTCATGATCATTAACATGGCGACTTGTAATGACAACAGACTCATACAGTCATTGTTTTCTCCGCACTCATCGCTGTAGTTTTGCCCTTTACCGATCACACCACTTTCCTTTGTACCCTGCGTAAACAATTGAAGAAATACAAACAGATTAAGGGGGGCTTTTTGCATAAGTAAAAAAAGAATTAAGACAGCTGTTGTTAAAGTTCCATTCAAAGCTATACCTGACGAAAGAAAGCTATGTAGAAGAGCGATGTGTATGAATTCACGAACTGAAATCCAAATAACTTTAAGATAAGCGCATCCTCATATGACGTCTGCGTGCGGTGATTTTCTGTGAAGAAAAGAAAATTAAGAAGTTTTGTCTACAAAACATATAGTTACGGTCGAATTTGAAAAATACATTCATTTGACTGAAATAAGGCTATTTGAATACACTTACCCCAGTCCGTTAGGTAGACGGCTAACTTCTGGTAAATCTGAAAAAAACACAGAAAAGATTTTTTTCATTACCACTTCCCCTTTCTACGCACCGCGTTGACCGTCTTAGAAATGACAAATAAAAGCTTGATATGTAACTAATACAACCTTGTTTGGTTACAATGAATATATGAAGTTCATATATTTTGAAATGCGGTTGTAGATACGTATGATGCACGATCGTCGCAGTAGAGAGCGCTATTTATGCAATAGTTCGTTTATTAATCTAAAACAGTCCTTGTTCGCAAGGGATGTTAACATATCAAAAAGGGGAAAAAGGTAAACAATAAAATTTTCCGCAAGAATACCAAACGATCTCCAAATGGTATCTATTTTGAAAACTCTCGTGGAACTGATTAATGATACTCATACATCATAAATCGCTACGAAAGAAACAGGATGTTATTGGTGAGGTTAAACATGCCACTCACGGAAACTGTTGAAAATGAACTGAGCCCCAGTGTCTTCAACACTGCAAGAAATGTATCTGCAATCTACTGACCTTGCCCATAATCATGATAGAGACGGTATTAAGGAATGTTGAGGTAACACTTGCTATCAGCTGGCCAGCTTCTCCTCTACTTTGGAACAAATCTACCCTCGCAATGACGCGATAAATAATCACAGCGACAACACTCGCCAGCACCAAGCAAATCTGTAGAGGAAGTAAAAGCTCTCGCGTTAATAAATAAACAAGAAGATTATTGGCGTCCGTCCAAACTAGCACGCTTGCTATAAGGTTTTTTCATTTTACGAGAAAAAAAATGGTGTAGTGACGATGTGTAATTACTTTTAATAAACACACTGTTAGAAGTTGGTTAACAGCGTGTGCAGGACGTGGGAGACAAAATACCCAATTATTTCAATCATGATGAACATCTACTCAAAACATGACGAGGAAAAAATGAACGAACCATAAAGAGCATGACCCCAAAGGAGCCCATCATCTTGAAAAATCTTTTAAATACTGGATAAACTGAGATGTCTTCTCCTGTTACTGGGTCCTGGGAGAAAAAACAGCAACAACACATAAAAATTTACCTGCATTAGAGAAGAGATCATGATAACGTTAATGTAAAAATTGTCCAAAAAACAAAAATGTATGAGAATCTTACCTTCTTGATGACAGTTCCATAATACTGTGGGCGATTTGGTTCCTGAAAACATTTAATTATGACGTTGTTAGAGGATATTCACAGTGGAAAAGAACAGTAAGGTTTGTTTTAAAATACACTGTACCTGTTCTTCAAATGTATCAACATCCCATTGGTATGATAGTCGAGCATTTGTTCGTTTCCATCGCTCCAAAAATAATGTACCTGCCAAAAAGAAACATGCGTAGACGTATGAAAACAGAATATATGACAACTTACAGACAAACATGTTTATAGCTGAACAAGATTTATTTATTTACCTATAATATGCACAGCTGCCACCTACATGTAGCTGCTAAAGCATTAACATTTAAATGAGCTAAATATATCTTAAAATAATCTTTTTTTTTTTTAAATGAAACTTACCCCACAAACATATTATCAGAGCGAAAAACGGTGTGGCATCATTGTCAAATGCATTTTTTGCCCAGGCTGTTAAGGTGGAGGCAGATGTGGCATTCTCTTCTTTTTCATCCAAAGGATTATCTCTTATTCTACAAAAGAGAAACAAAGAAACATGGAATCATCTTCTAGTGAAACTAATTTGTACAATGATTCCCAAAAGGTACTCCTGACCAAAACCAAGTAAGTTTTACAAGAGTTTGCCATTAAGTATAAACAGAGATATAGGGTTGCCACATTTAAAATAACATTGCAGTATTTTTCAAATTAACCAAAAAGACTAAAGATAGAAAACCAATAGGGGGAATTCCTGACTTAAGTGAATTCACTTGGAAAATGTTAAAAAAGCCATTAATGTTGTCGTAAATCTCTACATGATCAATCAATGTAAAAATATTTCAGTCCGTGTTACAACAGACTTCATATACATCAACAAGAAAAAGGAAAGCACTAATAGCCAATGCCATTATTAGTCATAAAATTGTTAGAGACTTAGGCATTGAGTAATTGCAGAATTTTCTCAAATGGTTGATTAATAATGAACAATGAATGGTTTGAACTTTGGAGCAAGGGTCAACTGTACTGAGTTGGGAGTTTGTGACTGCATAAGAATTCCTCTGAAGTTGTTGAAAGTCAGCCACTGTCAGTGATAAGAGTCCTTAATATCAAGATCTTTTAGACAATTCAAACATGAAACGAATGAGAGATATACTGTGCAGGGAGTACGAGGAAGTGACAACAATTTCTCATGAACAAACATTTCATTTCAATTGAGATGTGTGGCAATTGACAAAAACAATTGAGAAAGGATTTTTGAGTACAAGAACTCGCTATAGCAAAAGAAAAAGGAACCAACTCGAAGAGAAAGGAATGTCAAACCACTACAAAGAGACAAACAGAAGGTGACCCCAACAGACAACTCACCTACCAAATTCTTCTACATGTAAGTCTTTATAGAGTTGAAGAGTGCTAGTCAGGGGAAAGAATAATAGAGGTCTACCAAGTTCAAGTTTATAAACATGAGTAAGTCAAAGAGATTTGAACAAAGCCATGCACATGCCACAAGGAAGAGATCAAAAGATTGCTAGGCAGAGAAAGAGGTATTTTTGGGTGAAACAAGTGATTCCATGTGGCATCAGGACAATATGTCAAAGGGAAATAGCAATCAAAAATAAATTTTCTTCCTGCAAAGAAAAAGAGATTTGCAAACAACCTTCACAACTGGTAAAATCTTGCAACCACAATATATTGATCATCAATCAGTTGGGGCAAATGAAAATCTTTTTCTGACATTAGTCATAGCCAAAATATTAGAACACCACATAGAAAATACTAATAAAATCTCACTCTTATGGAATCTAACTTCCATAGAAATGTTCACTCCATACAAACAGTATATATACACACAGTAGATAGTTCTGTGATGACATGCAGGGACAAGTGGTGTCACCAGAGAAAAAGAACAATAAAATATACAGTCAAGCAAAGGAAGTGTCCTGATCATGTAGGCTAAGCTGTCTATGAAATAAAATCTGAACAAAAGTTATTCTTGAAAACTGCAACAACTGTGGGTGTGTTTTACACTTTATATTACCCACCAAGTTATGTATTAGATCATGGTGGAAATAAAAACACTTTCAGTTTTAATTAATAGGAACATTTAGGAGGGATTGTTATATCACGACTTATATGATGTGTAATCTCATGTAGATTGATATCGCCTTATTCTTTTCCTTTGTTTATTGTTCTTGTTCAAATAGTGCTAATTGTAGTAAAATTTTGCGTGCCCTTTCTTTGTGTCATTTTGTAACATTATGTAATGTAGCATGTATTTAACCATAATGTTCATCGTAGTTTGTGCATTTCTGTCCAGTAAGTTCGACTGTATTTGTCATCTCTTCGTCCAGCTATTTCGCTGCTAGACAGGGAATCAGCAATATTGCAACAAATGTAAGTTTTGTATTATATAGTTTTCATTGTTGTTGTTGCTGTAGCTTTCTTAGTGTATTTATCTTAGTTTCTATTGTAATAGTTTTTTGTTCACTGTTTTATTTGCAGTTTTAACTGTGTCATTTCACCTTGTTTGTTTGTCTCCTTGGAACCCATGTTGAAAATTGTGTTAGAGTCGTTTCTCCTTACCAATAAAAGTATCAGTCGCACGTGGCAGTTATATCTCATAATGGAAAAGTGTGCAGTAGTACCCCTCAATACTTGTATTATTAACCCTTATGGTATTGGGATAACACACAAGTGTCTACAGTAAGTACCTTTCACACTATTGATCAATTCAAAATCAATCCGGAAAATTGTAACTGTCGTTAAGTTACATATTAAGTTTTAGTGAGACATTATTGCGACCTCGTGCATTGTGGCCTAGTGCACTTTGCTAAAAGGAGAATCTATGCGAGTTTGTGTGATAGAGTTATCTGCGATAAAGTTATCTGCGATCATTTGCGACTTCTGGTTAATAAGGCATAAAGAGAGGACAATCGGTAAGCGTATTTTTCTCTCCCCTTATTGTTTTAGTTTATTATTTGATTGATTATTGTTAGGGGTCATGCACTCGACCTTTGTGTTGTTATGTAATAATTATTGTTTTAGTTTAGCTCCTTGTAATGTCGCTTAGACTAGGTTTTCTTGTTTGTGTTTTAGCTTGACGTGTTTGATATCAGATTAAATCGTATTGGAATCACAATTATACAGGTCTGGTGTCAGATTTAGTACCTCGATGTCCTCTAGGTGATAAACGCCTACAATTACTTACGCAACGCTAAGTCCCCACAGAAAAATGGCCAACCCTAGTAGCATGGGTATGACAAGCGACAGGGTCAGCAAACCTGAAATGTTAGAGAAAATAAAAACAAAAATAATGCATTCAAATCAGATTATTAACTGTGCCATTAAATTTGAGGGGTCAGCAAAATTTATTCAAAACTGTTCTTCTGAGTACTCACCAAGCCAAGCAAAATAGAGGGCAATTTTCTCTCCAAAGTAATTCCTTATTTTCCAGAGAGGCTGATATCTGAAATGTTTGAGCCATGTGTCATGCAAGGCTTTGCGAGGATCAGAGATATCCTGACCATAATCAAAACTTTGGTCATCGCCAGCATCAGCAAGTGAAAACTCAGAATCATATTCAGACTTTTCATGTAGAATAAATGCATCAGTGTATGCTTCTTCCACAAGCATGTACCCCAGACCTAAAAACAGACCATAAACCATAAGCACAGACCTGTTGATGATACTACAATCCAGTTGATACAATTTATGTTACAACCGAACACCCTGAATATAACACATGTCTGAGGTGAGTAGATCAATTTTTTCCCATAATTTTTTCCCAGCACTCTTTTTGTAACTTCTGAAACAATTGTCACTAATTATTTCAATTTGAACAACCATTGAAAGACTCTTTGTGAAATGAAGGCAGCAATTACAATCTTTATGTGATCAGCTTGATAACCTACGAACAGTTTGATCTGTTGGCAGATTGTTTTTAACTCTTCGGGGACATTATAAACACAACATAAAAAGTAGCAACAATCAAAAAGGATCATCAATCACATTTCAGCTATTTTAAGTTTTCCTGGATCTTCTATTAAATGTAAGAACAAAAGATAAAGTTTGACCTTGTGCATTCTGACCAAGCTGTTTACTTTCTTTGTCTCTGACATCTAAATCTGTTAAAATGTGGTGAACCTACACAATTAAATAAATTTAGAAAATTAATTGAAAAATTGGATGAAATTCAATTCTTGCAAAGTATGTGTTGATGATTTATACCCACCAAAAGTGATCTCAGAGCTGGTCTGAAGAATGTGTCAGGATTTTCTACTCCCTCATAAATCTGAGACTTTGAGACACAAAATGGTGCACTGACAAAATCAACTGCAAGAAAAAGACACAAACATTATTATAATCAAAATGCAAGCGGAACCAAACTGGATTTGAATTCAATCGCTCAAAGTATTTTGTAATTGCAGAAAAAATTCATGATGTCGCCAAGCATTCTAAATCTAAAAAAAATTATTTGTAACAATACCTTCATCATCAGTTGTAAAATGATCCCAAAATCGTTTCCATACACCATTTCTTGATGTCTCTGGAACAACATACTGCAAATAAGCGATAAAAATGAAAAACTTGCACCATCCCTAATTTTATAAAATAAACATTACAACAAGATGATTAACATAGTTTGCTATTTTTGTTTTATGCGTTTACCTCTGCCAGACATCTTATCTTCTTAGCCTGTAACCTTCAGTGCAAGTGATAATTTCCCAATCTCTTACCTTAAATCAGCTTAAGGCTTCAAAAGTGTTTTTGCAAACAATACATACAAATAAGCAATTAGCTGTTAAAAATTGACAGGCCTACCCCAGCAAGAGGCATTTCCAAAGATACATGTTCTGCTTCTTCACAAAGTCTCTCAAATGAACAATGCAATATCGCTAATGTCTTATTTGAAGTGTATTTTCGTTCTACCCTGAATCCCTGTGAATGAAGTTCAGCCTCGAATTTCTTCCTTAGTTTCTCATGCAGATTTCGATTGTCACCAGTTTTATGAACTAAGACATAATCGTGATGTAGATATTTGCTGTTTTTCCCCTCCTCTGATTTACTCATCGCTAGATGCAAAGCAAGTTTCCTCAAATCTTTTTCATCCTGGTTGATTTCTGTTCGTGATATAATACGGGGGTTATTTAGCTCTTCGTGTATTTGTATCAGTTTTTCTCGACTTGCCACTGGTTCAAGCGCCAATTGAACACGCTTCGGTTGTTCTCCGTAACTATTACTTGAAATCTGTCGCAAAATCCCACCATTTTGCAGCTCTGAAAATGGTAAGTGTTCATTAGATTTTGGCCTTTTCGCCCTTTTCCTTTTCTTCTTTTCACGAACCTCTGAAACAGTTCCACCACCCTCTAATATCCTGTCCTTGTCGTCTCCATTAAACTCAGCCATAGTCTTACAATAGCCACACGAAATGTACAATTAATATCCTTGGGTAATAATTTCTTCACGCAAACAAAAACTTCCGTACTGATGGTGATCCTGATATTTGGCGATAACGAAACCGTTCTCAATATGTAAATAAAGTGAATTTTCTGTTTACTCGCTGTCCGTTGCCAACCCTGAACCACGCCACAAACCTGATCAGTGTTGCCGGAGAATTACCAAACTTGAAGATCTCTAAAAGAATTAAGATCAGTATGGAAAGCTCAATGCAGAAGTAAGGCAGTTTTGTGACCGATCTTGAGAGTTCTATCCAAAGTGAGTAACTTGTCCTCTTATGGCAGTGATCACAACACTCAAGGTCGTGCACTCGATGTACTACAGTTGTTTCTGAGCTTTTTCAATGGATTGTAAAAGACCCCTTACAAAACTTTGTAATGAACGATAAAATACAATCAACTAGTTCTTCTTCTCGTCATTTTCAATCTCCAGTGAAATACCCAAGACAGTTTAGTTCAGTTGTAACAAGCTCGTTTACATGAATTAGGAGATCTTTCCATAGAAATTGTCTTTTAATACTGTGTCGCTCAGTGCGTGACACTGGGCATCACCTAAGCGACGGATAATCAAGTCAAAACATCAAGAAAACATTGAACCCACAAGGTAAATACTGAAATTTCCAAGATCGCAAAATTTTCCACGGCTGCAAAGGTATGATTCTGAAAATTAACCAAAGTGCGCAGGACCAGACGTGTCCGACTAATCCTCAGGAAAAAAAAACTCCAAAAATAACTTAGGGAAAAAATTGGGAGTCTACTTGCTAGATGAGTCATGCGCAATATAATTTCCTTTCTTTTTCAAGTGTCCGCTGACCAGTAACTCAAGATGGCGTCTAAAGACAGTCCAGTTTCAAGGACTGAAATACAGGAAGCAATAAAAAAACAAGGAGAACAAATAAGAAAATTAAAACTTGAAGAACAGACAGATGAAGTTAAAAGCAAGGTAAATAGTATATTTCTAAAAGCGTCAACAAACTGTTCTACATGAAACGAAAAAGATTCTCCTGGTGTCGTGATCAGGTAAGATACACGTGGTTACGTTCCAAGATATGGAAAAAATTTTTTGAAAAGACGACATTCTATAAATGCAAGAAGGAAAAAGTAGATTATTTCCTTCCTGTGAAAAAAATGAAAATCTATTCATTTTTTACATTATTTGACCGGCTGATATTTTTGATAAGTTCTGATGCAATAAGTTGCATTGTCATACGTAACAGATGGAGTTACATGCACTGGTTAAATGTTGCCTCAACATGCAGAGTATTTGATTTACATTGTGGTACACCCATTGTGATTTGTGAACTGGACTTTTATTTTTTGGCGTTGCTAAATCTTTATATTTAAGATATTTGTAACAGTACACAAAAACAGGGTTATGTAGGAACTGGACAAACTGATAATATCTTTAAAGGAGGCTCTGTCAAAATTTTAAAGCTTTAAAAATGTGTGTGACACTTGGTTTCTGTTTCCAGACATTGTGATGATGTCCTCTAAATTGTTGGGGAATATTTCTATCATTCCAAAATTGTTGCGAGGTTGCTTGTTTTCCTGTTCTTACTGTCTAGATAGCAAGGTCAGTGACCTCAGTATGATACTCTAACATATGCCCTGTTTTAAGACTTTGTCTTTGGCAAAGCTATTTCAGACAGATAAGAATCCATAGCTTTCTAAAATTTTACCTCTGTGTGGTACCTGATGCTATGCCTTTATTGTTTATATTTAACAGCTACAGAAAAAGCTGGTTAAATTGTATTTAAATTCAGTCTCCTAGTTTTTATGGAGAGTGATGTCATGATAACTTGGAAGTAACCACTGTGGTGTGTTTGCTAAGCCACTCTTAGATTTCAGAAATTGGAGTTGTTAAGTGCTCTTTCCTTTTCTTTGTAAAAAACAGATAAAAGAAGAAACAGCTAAATTAGTGGAACCCAAGAAGAAGATTGATAATGAGCAAGGAAGCCAGAAATTTGTTCTCAAGACACCAAAGGTATATTGCATTCAAAGTGATTGAAAAACCTAAAGAAGAATGGCAAAATGGGCTACCTGCTTTCTTAGCTGCTGGGCTTGTAGATGAAAATTTCAAATTTTTGTTGCTCAAAATTGTCAATTCTTTTCCCCAGACAACCTTGACATTGTCAACTGTTCTTATATGATGGGCATGTGTGACTGCTAATGTCTGGGAGAGCAAATGATGAAAGTTTTACTGCAGGGTTTTGTAGTATTTGTTAACTTGTGATCAACTCTGAATCAGACTTTCAAACATTACTTAATGCTTTACTTCCTCTCTCCAACAGCTTATACTTCCTGTAAGTATGAATAGTTTGTGCTTGTTGTTGTTGTTTATTGTCAACTGTAACTGGGTCTCTCTCATTTTCAGGGAACTCGTGATTATGCACCAAAGCAAATGGCTGTTAGAGCTAAAGCATTTAAAGCTATTATTGGCTGTTTTGAAAGACATGGAGCAGAACAGATTGATACACCAGTCTTTGAAATGAAGGTATTACTGTAATCTCCCTAGATGGATAAGTGTCCAACATGTACCCAATCTGCATTATTGTACACCCTCAGCGTGACATGTAGGTGACTCACAACAATTAGGTTGACCATGAGTTTCAGATAGAGATACATCTATCTACTCTATGTCCAATGCTTTTTCCTCTGTGTGGATAAAAATGTTTAAAGTGATTATGGTCTTGTGTATTTTTGCTGGATGTTTTGTGGGAAGCTTGTGAGTATGTTCCTGCACCACAGCTGTAAATATCTGGCCCACCACAGGACCAATAGTAACCCTGGTGTGACTGGGGACAAACTCCTTCGCCAGCCCAGATCCAGTTTTCTGGTTTGGTTTCTGGTTTTTCACATTTTTTTCAGGATTTACTGTCTTGCCAGCCTAACAGGCCTTGCACTGGACTTTATAAACATGCAATATTTGTAGTGGATTTTATTTATTTTGTGTGGGAGTCACTATTACTGCCGGCATAAATTTGTTTCCTGGAATATCATTATTTAGAGGATTTGAATGACATTACATTACTAAGTGATGCTGGTTGTAGAATTAATTAACTTCTGCCTTACTTGTAGGAAACTTTGACAGGGAAATATGGTGAGGACTCCAAGCTAATCTATGATCTTGCAGACCAAGGAGGAGAGTTGTTATCATTGAGATATGACTTAACAGTATCTTTTAGAATTGACTTATGGACAGTCTGTTTTTAAAGAAGATGATAATTTGTTTTTTTGCTGGGATTTGAAAATGCTGTAAGTTTGACTTGAGGTTCATCATGTTTATTTTTGGTTCCTTAATTAAACTCTCAGGTACCATTTGCAAGATATGTTGCTATGAACAAGATTGACAAAATCAAAAGATATCACATCGCCAAAGTGTATCGTAGAGACAATCCAGCCATGACAAGTGGACGATATAGGGAATTTTATCAATGTGTAAGTAGCGTCATGAGTATCTAACTGGTACATCTACATAAAGTTTGTAATGCAGAACCAAGGGTAGTCAAAGCCAACTTGTACCCCTGAATGGAGTTTGTTAAGGTTAGGTCTAATATTATGAGGCAGAGGGAAGAGAAACAAGGTAAGTCAAGGGAAACTGTAGACTGAGATTGAGATGTGAGAAAGCAGAGGCCGAAGTTCATTTTATCTTTTTCTACAATGGGATCAGAGAGAGCTTTTTCTTACTCGCAATGTACAAAAGCCTTGCCATTTGTGAAAATGCTTTTCCTCTGATTTATCTTTGTTTATCATGGATAATTACTTGTATCTATTAACTTATCCTGCATGCAAAGAAATCACACACTTTACAAGTACAAAATTTTGTCACCATAGAGGTTGTATTTCCTCAGGATATTGACTTTGCTGGGAAGTATGATCCTATGATTCCTGATGCAGAATGTGTAAAGATTGTATCAGAAATACTAACAGATTTAAAACTTGGAGACTTCACAGTCAAGGTATCATTTTTACTAATGATGTTTACCTGATTATTAAAAGCTTTATTAAGAACTTACTCTATGTGGCCAATCCCAGTTTTTCTTGAAAGGCTTCCCAATGGCTTTGTTCTGGCTATTTCAGGTGAATCATCGTCAGTTGCTGGATGGCATGTTTGCTGTTTGTGGAGTACCCGAAGAGAATTTTCGATCAATTTGTTCTGCTGTTGATAAACTGGACAAGGTGGGTGAATTCAAGCACTGTACAGAGCATTCTAGCAAGGAATAGATATGTGGCTAATGCAGAATATTAAAGGCTGAATATTCTTGTTCTTGTGTCTCAAAAGTTGGAAAGTGTCAAGTGTTACATTCAGTTCTCTATGTATCTTTTTAAACTGTTTACCTTTTTGGAAAGGTATTTGTTGTGAGTGTACAACAAGAGAATGTTCTGAGTTTCAAAAAGATTTCAAACTCAGCCCTTCCAACTGAGCTACAGAGACCTCATTGGTATTCTAAGTAGAACAGAGTTAAAAGGTGGTAATTTTCTCTGATTTAGATTTAGATTGTTAATCTTGAGCAAGGCACTTTTTTTGTCATCTTGACTGAGAATTCTTTAAATACTTGTACCTTTTATTCCACATTATACAAAGCTTCCTTGGGAAGAGGTGAAGGCAGAAATGGTGGGAGAGAAGGGTCTGGATCCCAGTGTGGCAGACAAGATAGGAGAGTATGTGAAGCCTAAGGGAGGAATGGAACTAGTAGAATCATTGTCAGCAGATGAAGCCCTCAGTAAAAACAAGAGTGCCATGGCTGCATTAGATGACATGAAACTTCTTCTCCAATATGTAGGATTGTTTGATATCACAGATAAGGTTAGTTTAATAGCAACATTGACATTTGCAGGTCTCTGCAAGCTTCTTTATGGAAGTAATTGCTGTATCAAACCAGTTTGAATTCATATAATTGATAATTGCAACAAAAAATTCAGTCACAGCAACAAATACTTTTGTAAGAATTCGCCATGTCACTCGAGTCAAAATATCGTCAAGTATGTCTCTAGCCTATAAAGAGAGAGAGGTTGAGTTTTGTTCTCAAGAAAAGTTCTTCCCATTTCAGGTGTCATTTGATCTGAGTTTGGCAAGAGGGTTGGACTATTACACAGGTGTCATATATGAAGCAATTTTAACAGGAAAACAACCAGATTTAGGAAAAGCAGCCAAAGGTAAAACTTAATGTGCTGTACAACTTAGTTACTTAATAACAAATCAGAGATTCTAAATATTGTAAAAAGCAGGGGACTTCCCATGAGAAGAAGATTTTATCAAGGCTGAGCTCAGATAAAGATTACTTATCACCAATAAGGATGCAAATCCTTGTGTCATTCATTCTTTTTGTTTCCAAAAGATCACATGATGCTATCCGGGAAACAGTGATCACTTAAGCTGTAATAAATCAGTCTTGTTCCCTGATTGTGTCTTTAGGTGAGCCTGTAGGAGTTGGGTCAGTGGCTGGTGGTGGTCGCTATGACAACTTGGTTGGAATGTTTGATCCCAAAGGGAGGAAGGTAAAACAGTTGGTAATTACATGTGACGGGTCCTTAATGGGTACAACCTGTGAACTATGGTCATCCCCACATTAGTTTATAATAATTTATTAAAAAAATGAATTATTGAGTTTTTCAACGGCTCTGAGGAGAGTAACGAATTTTTACCTGTAACTGATCTCTTCAGAATTGGTGTGAAATGGAGCTTTGTTTGTTTGTTTTTTTTTTTTATCTCACCTCACCTCACATGTAACTATTGTTAACATGTTTTTTCAGGTGCCTTGCGTTGGAGTTAGTATAGGAATAGAGAGAATATTTTCCATTCTTGAGGCTAAAGCTGAGGTAACTTGGTATTTATATATGATGTGAGGAGCTTCTCGGTAATGTCAAAGTGGACTTGCTCACATTGTAATTATTTTAAATAGCTGACTCACTGAAGACTTCACAGAAGCTTTTGCTTTTAGGGAATAATTTATGGAAGCCTCAGAAAATTCACCTTTGAGGAGCTCCTTTGACGTTGGAGTGGAGTAGATGCCTTTATTTAAAAATAAAAATAAACCTCAGGGTAGTCCCGTCAGATTAGCCCTAAAGAGCTACTTGCTATCATTGTGAGCCCTGAGTATAAACTTAATAAAATACATTACAATTTCATACGAAATACAGACACGACGATGTAAAACCCATTTTTAAGGCTATAGATTTCTAAATTTAAAATTGTGTATACAAAAATTACTCTACTTTGATGAATTATAAATTATGGATCCATAGTAATAAAACGATCGTTTTGCAATTTCTGTCCGTACCGAAGGTAGATGGATTAAATTTTTTTGGTGAGTATTACGGCTATTTTAGTTCTGATGTGGTTCAAACTTGTGGTCTGTGTTTCAGGCCGAAGGTAAAGTGCGGACAACTAAAACTCAAGTATTAGTGGCGTCAGGACAGAAAAATCTCTTGACTGAACGATTAACACTTGTCAACGAGCTATGGCAGGCAGGAATTAAGGTAAAGACTTCTCAAGAAGTGATTTTCTTAAAATAGGCAGGCTTAGTTGAGCCGAGTTTTTGTAATTTGATGGGCATGAACACAAGTGTCCTCTCTAATCAACCTGCTGTGTTTTGAATTGATGATAAGGAAGTATTTTCAACTGACTAATGCGTGTGCTCTTACAATCAGTTGAACCGTTAACTTGTGGTAAACACTTAGTAAAATGAACGTTACTATTCTACCAACCAGAAGAGCTATCAGACCTTTTATCCTTCGATTGTTATCACTTTCTTCCTCATTTTAGTCTCTTAACGGATCCGATTTCAGGGGTAGGCGGCAAGACTGAAACATACATCGTCAAGCCTGGGTTGGGATTCTCGTCTTTCGTCGCTTGCTATCTATTTTGTTATTGGCCTTGTAGCTAGCAAGAGTGCTCTTCTTCAAAGCTAACCATGTTGTCTTTTTTATCTTGTTACTTGGTTTTTCCGTAGGCTGAACTACTCTACAAGAAGAATCCTAAAATGCTGAATCAGTTTCAGTTCTGTGAAGAAAATGGAGTCCCGTTTTGTGTGGTGATTGGTGACAGGGAACTTCAGCAAGGAGTTGTAACTCTCAGAGACATGGCTTCCAGAGAAGAGGTCAGAAAATTGGCTAACAGGAAATTTTCTCCGTGCTTTCTGCTTCATACTTTCCGTCCTAACATTTTGCTAGATGGCTCACTGAGAACATTCATTTTATTTATTATTTTCAGGCCCAAATAAAGCGGAGAGAATTATGTCATGAGATCAAAACACGGTGCACAGCACTTGACGCAGAATCAGAATAAAAAGTGAACAACTTTGAAAAGACATTGAATTTCAAACAACGGCTTCATTAAACACGAAAACTTACCATAACAGCAAATAAATTGAAGAGTTTTAACAGGAATGAATTGCACGTTGCTGCTCTCTTTTTTTGAAGTTGAATGAACGCAAACACAATGTACACCTGAAGAATGAAAAAAAAAAAAAAGAAATTTCTAGTAAAAGGTAGGTTCCTGTTAATTTTATGCACACACAGAAAGAAATATTTCCTCGTCCTCTCAGCTCTCAGAAGCTTAAAGTGTCGTTGCAAGATATACTGACATATGACCCGTTCGGCCCCGCTCATGGAATCCTCTTGAAAATCAATGTGAAAGCTGGCTTATTTAAGGCCGAAGGGGTTGTCGTTAGCCCGTCCAGAAAATGAACGATTTCTCATACCACTAATCTCCCTCGCAGCCGTTTTTAGTCTCGTCACGTAACACTCCTCCCCACAAGGTGGGGAGGAGCGTTGCGTGACGAAACTAAAAACGGCTGCAAGGGAGACATGCATACATACATACATACATACATACATACATACATACATACATACATACATACATACATACATACATACATACATNCCCATCCCACCCCAGGGGAGGACATCCAATGCAAGACACATTAATCTCGTGCGTGGGAAATAAACGTCTCCTACCCCTAACCCTGCGGGAGACGGGGCCTACGGTTTATTCGTCCTTATCCGAGAAGACTAGAATATTTATCCATTTATCCAAAGGTAGCACTATCATACCACCTGCATACATTAAGTTTTCTTTAGGACACTGTGCTGTGCATTCCCTATCGTCCCAGTCCTTCCCTGAAACACGAGGTAGGCTAACAGAGTGCAAGGTCAGAAATGAACTTTCCATAAAATGCACTGTGTCGAAAAGTACTCTGAAGGTGCTTGGGTTATTGTAAAACGCGTCACGTTTCCGATAAGTTGTGTTTTGCTGTGTTATGAGGATTATTCGAAGAAGTAAGTAAAATATTTCAGAGAGGGTTGCCATTTTGTACGAAACCGTAGTCACTTTCCTCCCTCTATCATGTCAGGAGCTCAACGAGATGGAAGAGAGGTACATCCCTTTGACATGCTCCAAGCAACCAGTTTGTCGTGTTATATGAGTCGCAGGACATTGATTAAAGTTAATGTGACGTTTCCTTATTAGCGCTAACTACACCTGCTAAACTTTGCATGTAAAGATCGTCTCGTTTATATTCTCATGTTAAGTATTAATCAAACCCGCGATTATTGATTCTGTGCTTTAACTTTCAGTTTAACTGAATGCGATTCTTCCGGTTTGCAGACCAGATAAATATCTCGATAAAATTATATCTGTTTTAATGGCCTCGGTTTTACCAAAATACCTCTGAAAACTTAAAAAAAATTAGCTAGCGTGGCAACGCAGTTTGATGATACCATGATAAAAAAAATAGTAAGGTTGAATTTGTAAATGGACAATGGAAAAATAGCTCAGGAAATGGCAATTGCAGCCATTAAGTGAAAAAAAAAAAAAAACACTCACAAATTTGACAAGACCTTATCCAATGAGGTATTCTCATTAATGCAAATATCACCGTCAATATCTCACGTCCATTATCAGATATGAATAATTTCTTTCTGCGGAATTATTCAGAAGGAAATCAACATGTGCGTGCTAACATCTGTCTCTGACACAGTCGCTTTGTTTTGTGCCCTGAGTCGGTTTTGATGGCTGAATGTTGAATTTCGTGCTGTGAATGAGGCTAAAATGGGAACTGGAGGAAAAGACAAAGACGGAGAATCTGCACAACTTGTGGGAGGATCTAAAGACTTGCAGTCGGGCGAAGAAGATGATTCTATTGACAAGTGTAAACCTGAGAAGAAAGGCTGCGGTAATAAGTGTCTAGCCTGTTTTCGCGGTTGCTTTGGATTCATCTTATTCCCGTTCGTGTTTATTATCACCTTCATAGCTTGTCTTGTCTGGATTATTCTGTTACCAGGTTTGTTGAAAATTTGAACCGATCCTTTTGGTAAATCTTAGTTTGTTTATGCGCTTTTAAGCCCTATTTCAGGTTCTTAATGCCGACCCTAACAAAATCAAACGACACCGCCTGGGTTTTTTTTTTTTGTTTTTTTGTTTTTTTTTTACACATTTATTTAAGTTTCAAAAGACCGATGATGAAATTATGAGACTTTTTTGGGAAATTATTGATATGAATTTTTGGACGGCCAAAGGATCTTAAGCGGACGTTAAATAACCCGATCTTATGTAAAAAGACAATACAATCGTCTTGTAAGAGGCCTTCATTGTTGGACGAAAAATACGTCGCTAGGTTTTCGCTGCGAACTTCAACGTTGATTACGACAATGAAAAGAAATAATAAGAGCTGTTTTCAAATGATAGAAAACCAAGGCCTTTACAATCATGATATCACTTTTTCGCTCTAAACTTAGGCGACTGGCTTGTTTTTTCATTTGAACAGTATCATCCGCCAGCTCCTAGAATTGAAATTACCCAACAAGTAACACTCGAAAATGCTTTTGAGCGACTCAGTTTATTTTCCATTTTCATAAGAATCTCTCTTTGTTTTTCAGCCAAATGTTGTTCTCCCTGTTGCGCTCCTTTGTTTGACTGGCTCGTTCAACTTCTGATGCTGCCCGTCCGGTTTTATCGCTGGGTTCTTGGAAAAGATCAAGACGAAAAAAAATAATAAAAAAAAAAAATATTAAAAGATCATGTTCCCTTCAATTTAACACTTTAGGCCGATTATTTACACGAGGTCTAACCCAACCACAGTTCTACGAAATATGTAACCAGGGAGCCTCAGACTCTCTCTCTTTTAGATAATTGATTTATTTAATGAAATGTCTTGCCACAGTTAGCTTTCAGCCCTTTTGACACTGTTCACAAAAATATAGATGTTCAGATAAAGGCTTAAGCTAGACTGAGGATTCTTTAGGAAGCGCCGGGTTTTGTTAGACAACGACTAAAACTTTGTTCTGATAATCGGCCCTTAACATTTACAGTGTTTCGGACAGCATTCAAGTGGAGAAGTACAAGTACCCTGCAACCAGAGCCTTTTTAACTCGTCCTCGAATCGAAAAGGGAAAAAGGCTCTGCCGACATCCTGTTGTTGCTCGTTTGAATATGCGCAGCGGTTGCCCAGAAACTGATCCTTTTCCAGGCCCCCTTGAACTGTTGTGGGCGCAGATTTGGTCATCTGTGTACATGAAAAACAAAGGCGTGCGCACCAAAATCGGTTTAAAGGTAAAGGTCTCTATTTCTCCAAACAACATACGTGTTTAGTTACAATTTTAAGGTTGAAATCTGGAGGCAAAACCGGCTTGAGTAGCCCGGATTTTTTAGGCTTTCGGTATTTCAAGGCAACAACAGGATGACGGCAGAGCCTTTTCCCTTGGAGGGTTAAAAAGAAGAAAAGAAGAAGAAAAGAAGAAGAAAAGAAGAAGAAAAGAAGAAAAGGCTCTGCTCGCAGGGTAAAGTACAAGAAGCGTTTCCTCGAAAAAATGGTGTTTTTCGAAATTAGTTCCAGAATCGTTCCGGATGACATTTCAACCTGGGTTTTTTTTAATTCCTCTTCCTCTCAGTTTGTTTCCGTTTATCTTTAATCTTCTCGAAACAATAACCTGTGAGTAAAATTGCTCAATCCCGCATAGAAAGCATTCATCATAAAATTTGACTTTCGAAAGCAAAAAAAAATAACCAAAGAGTCTCCTCGAGGCCAGCGATAGTTTGTTAAATTGATTCACTGAGCGTTGCAAGACGTTTGACTTCCTGACTCCACAACGTTACACAGCAGCCGCTGAACGTACATGAAAATGATACTGATACTTTATAGGTTCAAACCAGATCCACGACTATCCCCAAACTCGTATCATTTTCATTTTCTCATGACCGTTTAAATCCTATTTGTTTCAAGTTGCGTCTGACACCGAATAAACCATGGAGACAAGTTCTACAGAGTTAATGTTCGAAGTGAGCCACTTCGCATGATACCAATACTAATAAGTATTTCTTATCTGTTCCTCTGATTTAGACTTGCTAGTTTAGAGTCCGTGCCGAGTCTTCCGTCACAATTCAAGGCAATTTTTCACATTTATTTTTCTCAGCATCATATTTAGACCGTTCCAAATTAATTTCTAGTTCCAGGACCCGTTCTATGTGCCCTTGGACTTGCCTTGAGTCCCCATTGCCAGATACAACTTGAATCGGAAATGAAATGGAAAAGCGTTTGTGACAAAGTGGATGGGACCCGAGTACAGGGAAGGTCATACGGATTTGATTAAAACTAAAACTTGTATGCTTACCGTGATATACATTCAACAACAGGCTGCGTGTAAGGGTGACGAACGAAAAAATATGAAGCTGTGATGTAACAACTGAGAAATCATTTCCCAGTTCTCACCGATCAAAGAAAAACAAGTCAAACAGATTCTTCGTTAATTTAATACCTTTTTCAGTGTGGCATACAAACACATAATATATCGTGTCTGGGACTACATACCAAATCTTTTAACTTAAAAATGTCACATGGTCAAATACATATCATGTTGAAGATAAAAAGAAAGGAGATCCCACCAGTCTATTCATCTGAGAGTTCATCTCGGGAAGAATCGTCAACATCCATTGAGTTATTATCTTCCTCATCCTTTTTGTCCTTGTCATCGTCATCGTCTTCTTCTTCTTCTTTTCCTTCATCTTCTTCTTCTTTTCCTTCATCTTCTTCTTCTTTTCCTTCATCTTCTTCTTCTTCTTCTTCTTCTTCGTTGCCTTCGTCTTCTTGTTCGTCTTCCTCATCACCTTCGTCATAGAGTTCTTCAGTTTCATCCTCGCTAATCATTGCAGCAAGGTCGTCGAGATCTTCACCAAAAGACTTAGCATAAGCCAATGTTGCAAGTAAGGAAAACAGAAAAGCGAAGAGCAACTTCATGATTACGAATTTTGATTATTTGAGAAAAAAATCCCTTCGACTTCTCTTTTGAATAGATTGGACGCAAACCAGTGTATGATGTAAAATCGAGGATCCCAGCCCATTTTATCCGTATGTTTATTGATTTTTCTAAAATAAATGTATCAAAAAAACAAATACGTTAACCAAATACGACAAAAACAAAATTTTAAAACCAAAAGACAACTTTTTCAGCTTGTTGCTTATGTTTGTACACCTTATCCCGCCGATTTTCAACTGAAGTGTTGCGTGGAAAACGGGTCTAGCAATGTCCTAAAGAGCGTGAAGTATTTGAAAACTTCCTTGAGAATCATAGAGCATGAAGTATAAGACCCTAACAGCGATTTTAAATATTTCAATCCATTTATAATCCTAATTATGATATAAGCGAGAGGAAGATCTTGCTGGATTCTCTCCTGTATAGATATCTTAAAATAATTCAGCGGAAAGCCTATCATGCAAAGTGAAGAGGAGGTCAGATACTTGAAGTGTTGATTAAAGTCGAGATTTGTGGAGGTTCGAGGAAGTTTTAAAATGAAACATACTGACGACCTCGCAGAGCACTCACAATTAAATTAAATAGGATAAATTTTAAACGCGTACAGGTTACAACTTATAAAATTAAACTGACTGCATCGGCTTACACCAATCGACAACAAAGAATTCAGACGTATAATCTGTAAAAAGAACAACGACGCATTGAAATGAGTAGAGGTGTTTGAATGAATTTGGTTATGTTTATGTAGCTCATTTCTTGGAATAAAAAAGCCATTTGAACAGATGCCTAGTCTTCAAACTGAATCTAAACACCTCCATATGTCGCTTTATTTCTGAACACGAGCATGGTGGAAAATCTTTGAACAGATTGCGGAGGCCATCGTGAGAGATTGTTCAATTGACAATATACCGTGGTGTAAAAACACTTGTCATTCAAAAGCAACGAAGACACTTACAACCGTGGTGCGGGGGATTAACAGGGAGTATTATGTTTCTCAGCCATGTCACCTACCTCTGAGAATGAACAGGTGTTTGACAAACTTGTCAATCTTAAGCATGTCATGTTTTCTAACACTGGGTTAGTTTTGATTAAATATAGACCGAGAGGGAAGTTCGTTTGCCTAGATCGTATGGTTTCCACCCAATCATTAAAGTCACATCGATAGTTGTATGGCCAATATCAATTTATGTTTGCATTAACTTTTCTTAACTTTCTGATTTTAGATTTATCTTAGTACATCGCCATTTTGGGTGATAGTATGGTTTTATCTTTCTATGGCTGCTATTGTTGTTCTGCCTTCTGAACTGTTCTCGAGTCATGCAGAGCAGTTCCTGCAATAAAAGGGCAGGCCGGTAATTCACGATTCTCGATTAAATGCACCTCAAGTATTAACTTGAAATTATTCATGGTCCACTCTGCTATGTGTGGCACGTAGGATCTGTTTTTTTGGATGCTGGTTTGGTTTTTTTAGGATGCTGTTTTTTGTTTGCTGTGCTCAAACTTACGGTCGAGGTGTTAAGTAAGACAAAAAATATGGACTGATTTTGAACTTAGACCCGCTTCTTTATTCCTTAGGTAAAGATCATTTCAGGTCTGTAAAGTTACCAGAACTTTTCAAGAAACAAGCCCCACCTGCGCATGCTCTGGTAGGCGTGGCCTCGTACTCGTGCCCGACGTCACGGTTTCTTGCGAGGCTCAGAATAGTATTTTGTTCATTATCCAAATAGCGACGCAAAACTATCGAATTAAGATTTCAGAAGAAATCGATGTAAATCTAAGTCAACGTTGAAATAACTTACCATTTAAAGTTCACAAAGGGCGACGATTCGTGCTCTGTAGGTAATCCATAATCCATTTAATTGCTCAAGCCAGTGAGTATCCAGAATATCGTGCAGCGTTTGAGGCCTAAACATAAAAGACATTTCAGCTTACGACACACTTCTCGTCTGTTGATTCCAACTCTGAAAATTGTATGTACCGTACAAAGCTTAACATGTATCGCTAAGTAAATGTCGCAGCCTTTTACTTACCTAGCAAATGTTCAAATGTTCGACACAAATACTATAACCACAGAACCTCATAAAATAACACGAACGGGCACCAGGATATCAGGACTAAAAGTCTATTTCAGTACTTTCCCAGAATTCAAAGATAATGGTTATTTTTGAGGGCGAAATGATAATTTATCAGCTACTTTTTGAACTTGGCTGTTCGGTCAAACCATTTTCAACTGAGGCTGACCCAGTAAAAGGGCTATTACAAAAGATTGACATTTTTTCTTAACATCTGTTCTGTTCTCAGGAATATGCCTGTGGCAGTACAACTGAGAAACTAGCTTTTGTAATCATTACGGTGGCCAATTTACCATTTCAACTTTGTTGATATATCCAAATTATTGAGAAACAATAGATGTACAACTCTTTGAAAGTCTCTTTGCAGGCCGCGTGAACGCAGCCCTGCTTGACAGAGAAGTGCATTGTTGAGTAAAGAGCCATTGGGCACCGAGAAAAGGAATCGAAAAGTTATCCAGCGGTGAATAACTCAGTATCAACGGCGCTAAAAGAAATGTGCTGGTAATGGCCAGTGACTTAGCTGTCTGACTGAGAGCTTACAGGACACTGTGCATTGCTAAATGAAAAAGCTTTGAACACTAACGATGCAGGGAACGAACCAAAGTTTGATTCTTAAAAACGCCGTTGAAAGGGTTGTATGGTGGCTGCTAATTTGGCTGGACGACCGATCACAAAAAATTATAATTTATTGCAACTCATTATTACAGTAATTTGCTTCTAGGCTATGCACAGTGACAATTGCCCGGCGCCAACTTTTGATCGAAGATTCCTGACCACATTCGTATTCAAAAATAACATGAGATAAAAAAATGGTCAGAATCCTCTCTAAGATAAAGCTTCTGTTTAAATGATTTTTTAACCCGACAAACAAGGTATATCAACACACTTGACGCTTCTCTGGACCTTAAGGACAAGAAATGGATAAGTTATACTCCCCCATTTGATTGTAAGATATCTTCATAAACTTCTGAGTTTGCTGTAAGGAAAGTTTCAGCTCGGTAGATCACTTGAATCTACACTTTGAGAGGTGTCTTAAAACTTCATCGGTTTTCAGTGTGATCTCGCCCACAACCAACTGTTTTTTTGTCTTAACCGCTTGAATCAACTGTTATGTAAAGCAGAACCACGCTTCCCTCTTAAGTTAAGATGAGGAATTTCCTCTAAATTTCTAGTGCTTCCTACGAGACGAGAAGCCAGCGAAATATTCTTATGATATGTTTCACGATAAAATCAATTAATGGTTGGAATCTGTAAACTGAAGTTGTTGGATTCTGAAAAGGTGGAAATATCGTAGTAACCAGAGTCTGGTTGCCGAAATATCGACGTCTTGTAGGGAACATAGCATCAACACCGGATTTCCACCCGGATCTTCTTTTCAAGAAGTTTGTGGCATTAGGTGTGCAAACCGTGACGACAAGCTGATATAATAATCCCTTGGATCTGAAAATTTGACTTTCGCTATATTTACTTTTCTAATCTATATTTGGAACCCTTTTCTCAGAAGCCGCTCGCACAAAAAGGGCCAAAATTCTTAAATCTCACGCTACACAGCTCCAGTACCAGCTCGCATCCAATCCACTGAAGGGAAAGTCAACCGCAAAGCATTTTTCTAAAAGAAAACAATAAAAAGCTGGAATAATGAGGCTGATCTTCGCTGGTTTGTTTTTGTTCTTGGCAACATGGGTTCACACTGAATTGTTTGGTGAGGATTTCAACGGCTTTGCTGCAATTATCAAGGAGAGAGACGAAGAGCTCGATGACATCCTAAGCGATGGAGATGACAAAATGGATGTAGGAGACTGAGACGACATATATGAGGAAGACGAGGATGATGACGGTGATGACGACGACGAAAATGATGACGGTGAAAATGACACCATCGATGAAAACGTTGATGATCCGATGAAAGTTGGCACGAAAAAAAAGGTCAAGTATTTTTGAGGTTTGAAGTAAGAGCTTGAAGCCTAGCCCCGCATCGGAGAATTGTTTCATTTATTAAGTGCAGTATGGATCAATACTCCCCTTCTCTCATCCTGCAATGGCTCTGCAAGGAGTGATGCTAACGCTGTACTTTTCAAGAATTCGTAAAAATTTTTTCCATAGCAAGAACCATTTAAAAAGTATCTCGGTCCATGCCTCCTTTAGATGTATGAGTTTTCAGACGATTCGTTTAGTTTGAAACGCCCGGCTGATGCTAAAAACATCGGAGTGATTTCCTTTCGTTTTATTTTTCAATATCATATGCATAGAATGATGTGACAGATAGTCTCCGTCAAAGTTTGGCTCTTTGTGACATTCAGATGCAGTAAACCGTATATTTTTTATGCTATTAAATTAATATGAAGGTGTTTGACTTGTTATCTCGACCAGAGATGACAACGAAATATTCGCCCAGTGGGAAGAACATTACAACGTAACTCTTACAGCATAAAAATTGAAATAGATAACACTTAATATTAATTATGATGTTTCGCTATATAGAAAAACTTCAGAGGAGCGGTGACAACAAAATGATAACAATGATGATGACAAAAAGACCGATGTTCTAAAAGAATAAGGATATTGTCTTGAAATGCGTTTGTGTTTTTTCGTGCTTACATCGACAGAAATGTGGGAGGACGCTGAGAAAATGCCTGAGAAGCTGTAAAAAGGCTACGATGAAGTGTTCCAAGAGAGCTGCGAAGAAATGCAAATCAAATGTAGAGATGAGTATGCTATGCTGGGAAAACCTCAGAGACCACCCTTTTTCGCGTGTCTTTTGCCTTCTTGTTTAGAGAGGATGTGGAAAAGTGTCATATGAATGTGTAGCGAAGACATGTGAGGAAAAAGAGAGAATGAAAGGAAAAGGAAAAAAGAAACCCAGAAGATGTTCAGGACATTTCAAGAGGTGTCTCAAAGGAGAGGGGTCTGGGATGGAGATGTGATGTTGTTGCTGGTCAAACAGAAGGAACTGCTCAGGAATCTTTGCCAATATAAAGCTTAGACTTAGTTACCCTATATAGTGACAGAGTTCATGATTTACATCTTTGTTAGTGTACATTTAATTTCTTTCTCCAAATTATTTATATTTGCAGTTCAAATTCGGCCCCAGCCCCTAATGAATGTTGTTTCTATAGGGAATGGGGCACATCACGTTACTTAACTCTTTTACCCTTAGATCAAAAAGCCGCCAACTCTCCTTGCTGAAGACTATACATTACTTTTTATCAAGTCTTAAGTAATTTGTGATTTATTTTGGCAATATTTCCTGGAAAAAAAATTTTCAAACCTTTCAGTACTCTTCCAATTTGTGGTGTGGCGTGCAAATATCGAACCCAGCAACATAAAGCTAGATCTGATTGGTGAGTCTCCATATGGAGCAATCGCAACTGATTTACTGTGAGGCTGATGGCTGTACTGTCTTGAAACTAAGTCATCCATCACAAGTGTGAAACAAATTATTTTTCCTAGTGCAGCCTCTTTCTAAACAGTAAATCAGCCAAAGGACTCGCGCAATCTTAATGACTTTCTGACACTCGATCTCCTTTCAAACAAGTTTTTATTACATCCGGGGATTTACTTTTGATGCGATATTCTAACATCTTTGGCCTCTTAAAAAAAAACTCGGCCTCATCTAATTCATGTGGCTTACAAATATATCTTTCTAATATAGATACAATAAGTACTGGATACAACATATTGATAGTTTGTCCATGATAATCGATTGCAAAGGATGTAGTTTTCAGTTCTCTAATTAAACCCTTATTGACAATGAGCATGTGATAATTTCCACACCAACTGCAAGATCACAATTACCTTTTATTTAAAATAAACGAACCTCTTCTTTGGATTAGTGCGGAATATACGGCAGGAAGGTAAGCTAGCCTTACGTCATACTGGTGTGCAGTGTACCGTAAATCCTCTAATAACCCCCCCGGGGCTTTCAAATACCTTGGGGGGGGTGGCTTATTAGAAGGGCAGGCCTAAAAGCGGGGGGAGGGCTTAGTAATTTAGAACTCCACAAAGAACTCAATTTTATGATCTAACTCTCTCAATGGACCTTGTTTAGCCATGTTATATTTTTGGCATCGCTTTGTAATTTCCGGATACCGTATTCTATTGATGCCATCATGATAACACCAATCAATCAATCAATTAATCATCATAATCAATTTTAAATGTCAAACTAAAATAACAGTATTCCAATAAATTTATCGTACTTACTGACATGGAGCGTTATTTTTAATTTTTTTTTTGAGGGGGAGGGGTGGGGGGGGCTTAATAAAGGGGCTTAATAAAATTCTACCTCTAAAGAGGGGGTCTATTAGAGGGGGTAGCTTATTAGAGGGGCGGGTCTATTGGAGAATTTACGGTATTTAGCTATGTAATTCTTAATGGTATTTGTATTTATTTTGGGATATGATGATTTGTCCAACAAAAGGTGATATCATATGATTAAACAAACCTATCAGAGTCAGGGCGTTTTCTTGAAGAATCACCTGCCCTCTAAACCGAGCGATAAGAAAATGAATAGCAGCCATTAGGAATATTGATTACTCCAATCAGGTTTTCCAGATGCTTACACCTGACTGTTCATCATCATCGAGACCAATTCCGACTTTTCCCGATTTCTCTGTCGGCTTAATGTGCATGGCATTTCCCATGCTTTCCGGAAGTCGTGCTTGCCGAAGATGTACAAACAAGGGTTAAGGATTGACGATGCAAACCGCAGATATCCGAACAAGTACTGAGTCCACACGGGTAGAAAGAAAGAGTTGAAAATTTCTTGAAATTTTATGAGGAAGAAAGGCAACCAACATGCAACATGGGTGAAAAACATCACAAGAAAGATAAAAGTGGCTTTGCCATCTCGCCGCCTCCATTGTCGCTGTTCTGACTCCGTTGAGGTTGCTGTGGCAGGAACGTTTTGATACTCTCGGCGAATTTGTCGACGCACTTCACGCAAAATCATCAAATAAGCGACAGCCATGAAAAGAACTGGAATGACGAGATATAACACAACACACGCAGTGAAAAAGGCTTTCTCCTTCTTTTGCTCTTCTGGTTGGTCTTCACCCTGGGGATCATAGCTATCTGGCCTGAGCCACCATAACTGCATCAGAGAGACGAACAGTGAACTGAGCCATACAAAGGCCAGGGCTATGTAACTTCGTTGCTTGGTCATGATCAGTGGATAGCGCAAAGAACACATGATCGCTATAAAGCGATCGGCAGTCACTGCTAAAATGTGCGACAGGGTGACAAATGACGTGAACATCCAGATGTAAATTGAAGCAAAGCACGGGCCAGCCTCTTGAAAAATGTTGCACGTAATACTCAATGGCAAAGTGATGAGCCCATTAAGGAGATCACTCGCTGCCAATCCAATGAGGAAAAAGTTTGTTGGGGTTCTGAGAGAGCGCTTCTTGGTTACAAGGATGAAGACAAGTGAATTAACGAGGACAATGACGAAGGCCATAAACACACCAGGGAGGTCGTATTTAGCGATGAAACGAGGTGCCCAGTCTTCTTCTTCATAATCTTCGTGTCTTGAGGAATAGTTTTGATTTTGTCTCGACTCATTATGTAGAAGATTCGTCATGTTGTCGTCACGCATTGTCCTGTTGTACACGAAATTTTGCTTTAACGTCTGTGGCCCAGTATGAAAATGGAGGGCCACCAGCACGATGAAAAATCTACAAGAAAACAATCAGAGCGTAATTGCATTATTATACGAGAATAACACAATTATTTCCCAAGAGAAGTCATTATGAATAGCTATGAATCAATGAGCTGTTAAGCACCTGCTAACGAGCCTTAATTGACCCAGTACTTTCTCTTTCTTTTTCGACTAAGCTTAAGTGGACCACATCATAACTTTGGATGGATTTTATTTGCTTCATAGTCAGGATATTTTGATAATTTTGTTTGAATCCGAATGATCTGTTTCACTCACAAATTCAGACAAATAAAGTTAAATCTGACCTCCTTCGCAAACACTTCACCGATTACTTTTTAGCCATGAAAGCAGAGTATTTGGAATTAAAAGGAAACAAGAAACGATGTAGTCTTCTATTGAAACATTTAAAGAACGTTTAAAGGTTTTCTCTCAGAAAGCTGCAAGCTAAGAAGGCTCCTTGTCGGATGGGAGCTAGGTACATAACGTGGACCGGGAAGAAAATACTGATTGACATCAATATACGATCACATGGCCATCCTTGGCCATAGACGATTACTACTCCAATGTAATCAATCGGACCGAAGACACAATTTTATAATGTTTGAATGAGACATGTCATTTGAGAATACGTACTCGTGAACAAACTGTTAGTTTTGGCTTCGAGCATTTTTATGCCCTGTTATAAATGAAGGCTTTCATGGCACCTAGTAGCCATAACGTGGCTTTTTTTTTATCAAGTTTACGGCACTTTTCCGTTCTTTATATGGGCCAAAATCAGTTCAATCCTCATTTCAACGACCATGTTTAGCACCAGTTATCTCCACTCAGCTCAAGTCACTAACAAAAGAGTACTTCATGCGTCCCAGCCAATCTGAATAAGACATTGAGAAGTCTTACTTCAGACGACGTCCATTGCTGATAGAATACCAATAGCATTGTATCATAAATAAGGTATGTAAGTTAAAGGGATGTAAGTTAAAAGCACTTTTATCGTTTATTTCCGTTTCAAAAATTTGCCTCAGGATTCGTGTGTTTCTTGATTAGGAGCTCATTTGGGAAACAGGCTTGTCTAAACTAACGCTAAACTTTGCAGGAGATCCTAACTAAAAATTATCCATTAAAAGTCATTCTCACTGGTCTAAGCGATTGACTCTTCCCCGAACAATTCCTTTTGACAGATGATAAGTTAGGTTAAGAGCCATTTAGTGATGGCTTTCCTTCCGACAGTAGAAGATCGAGATTTCAATGTCAATTTTTCTATGGAGAGCAGTTTTTGCCAATGTTCTTTTTTTTTCGTATTCACGTCTATTTTCATGCAAAAAATGAACTATAAGCAACAGTTTTATCAAAGAAAATCCTTTCGCAGTTGAAAGTTGATGAAAATAATGTATGATGATTGACTAGAAATATTCCGTTCTTAAAACATATCGGGTCTGATGTTTGACCTCTTTACAAAAGAATTCCTATCGCAATAGCTTAATTATGAAATAGCACCGTTACATTCCACCTACTTTGCTTGAACGATTTATTCCATGGGTCTCCTTAGTGTTCTTCCGAAAAGCGTTAGATTTTGCTCTTGTGATTCAAGCTGTGGGGCGACTCGGAAAGCTGATCTCAGAAATGAGCAACTAGCACAAGCGGGTATGGATCTGATAGCTGTGAATCGAAGGTAATTTTCCTGTAAAAAATATAAGCTGTATTTGAATAATGGGCGGAGTGGCGTCAGTAATGATATCATGGGTGCGTATATTGTTTTTAATGACAATATTTGTAATTCGGACTGCAGATACACCGCTGGTGAGCTATTGGTTCATGCCAATCAACTTGCCTAAGGGACTGACAGCTTTCCCTCTAATCTAAATGTCGTTGTCCTTAGACTGATATGATGAAAATACGAATTACCATTGGAGACAGTTGACGTAATCCGAAAAAATATCACAAATTGGTCAATTTCCCCGCGGAAAACGTTCAAGAAAGCTTTTATGTTTGTTTTTAAAACTGCTTTTAAGGTGAAGGTCGCACTCTTTATTGTGGAAAGTCCACTGAGCATGCGTAGGATTGGTGATGGCCATTATTCCATGATTCGAGTCTTTTGAAAAAAAAACAGGGCTTCCCTGAGCTCAAATAACCTTCTCTGCTAAAAACATAAACCATTGTTTTACTTTTCTTTCCTCACAAACATTTTTAAACATATTTAATGCGGGTCATCAACACACCAAATCCTTCCCTAAATATATTTAGCTTGGACTTGATGCAATTTCTTTTGTCTTATCTTGTATACGAGATAACATTAAATTAGTTGCAATGGGAGACAGCAATAGACATGAAAAGTTATTTTACTGAAGTTATTGAATCTGGTTTACAATGGGTAAAGATATTAGAAATACCGAGTGAGCCAAAATGTTACCTTGGTTTATGTTCAAGTGTTGAGCGAGTGCTCTCTCTTCCTACTCTAAGCTGCACTGCTTGCGTTTGATTTCATGAGTCTCACAAACAAAAACCTGAACCGTATCAGCTCATGTCACTGCGAATATTATAAAGATCCTTTCCCGTCTGATTTTGATGTTTTACACGTTGACACAAATCACTTGTATCTGATATGTTATTCAAGTGTGTGGCTTGTTATGCGATGCGGTTTATCTTTTTACGGGTGAAAACGACAATTCAATTCGCGTGGCCTCGTTGAAGCTATCTAACTATGAATCGCGCTTAACCGATTGGCGTTAGTTTTGTCAACAAACTTCATTATCTCTACAATTCTGCTAAGAGCTTTATTGTTTTCGTCCCCCATGTATTCCAATTAAGAGCAGCTACTCTATATTCAGGATGTTTCTTGTCACTTACGAACACTTGTCGCGCCCTAGGAAATATTCCTTCATTAATTTTAGTGAATTACCATATCAGCTGTCCTCCGAAAAACAAGTTTTCGACCCAGCACAATTAAAAAACCGGAGTGATATTCACGCCAACACGAAGAGCTGTAATGCAATCGTGCAAGGATTTATTTTTAGTTTAAGTAGCCCATGTTTTGTTCAATTGCGATAAATGCGCTCTGGATACTAAAATTTCTCGAATGTGGAAACGACAGAAAGTTCTGTTGTCTAATTGTATCTGAATATTAAAGACCATGTTTATTTACAGTTGCAGCTGTAGTCTAGTAATCCAAAATAATGTGTTGAAAAATTGATGGTAAAAAGACTTGACTTTGAACAAGGCTGGCTTTTTTATTATCTAAATATCGCTATTTTGGCAAAGACAATATTTCGTAAATACGGTATTTTATTCATAATAACAATTACTCTCACGGGGTCTCTATGAAGCAAGCAATTGAAAGCTATCATCGGGTTAATGCTAGTCTATTCTGAGCTAATTCTTTTACTGCCTCCAAATCCTTTTTCCTCACCTTTCCCATCGATGAATATTGTCTTCAGTATTTTAATGACACTATGTGACAGAGCAAATAGGCCTTCCAACAGAGACGTTTTTCAAGCATCCTTGCAAGCTACTCTTCATGGTAAAATATCTAGCTTGGGAGTTGCAGTTTTTTTAAAAGCTTCGATTCGCGTGAGGAAACATTATGAGACTTAAATATCATTAAAATGCAGTCGCTAAATCGAAAGTGGATGGTTGAACAATAACCGCGGACAAAGTCGATAACTAATCGCCAGAGATGAAATTATATCGTGCACCCACTACTCAGGCAAAAATAAGCGACTTAAATTCAGAAATTTATTTTAGTTTTTAGATGAATAACAAGTAGATTAATGCGGTGGTCCATTTGCAGTTCATTGTATGAGGGAAATGAACTCGGTCCAAATTTAAGCTAAATGAATGCGATGGTCAATGGAAGTATTTATCAATCACCCATCGGTGCTGTGTTTATAGCGATCAGAGTTGTGTTTAAAAAGCAGCTTTTATCGATTTCTTATGCCATCATTTATCTCTGATTTAGTTCCTGAGTTATTCATCTAACAATTTACGAGCTTCAGTTGAGAAAGGAACGGATTGCAGCAGGAAGAACTTGTCCAAGTTAAGTATATTCGCTTCTCGGAAACACTCGAGGATAATAAAAATTTTCCATTCTTTAAAAGGCATTCACCTTTATTAGCTATTAGGTAGGTAGTCTAAACTAGCAATCGCGTTGCTTCTGACTTCGGCCATGATAATCTATAAAACTTTCGTAAAAAAAAAACCTCGTAGGTGTTGTGGTTAGGATGACCACTTGTTTTGTTCGTCTTAAATTATCGATCGGATAAACCAGAGAGATGAAGAGAGTAGAGGAGCCTCGATTCAGTCAAGTTGTTTCATTAAAAATTACGGCTGTTTAAGTTTACGAACATCAATCAACTGATATAAAGAGTGTTCGATGATAAACGACCTTTTATTCGTTAATAAAAAGTGTTTTGTTTACTCTTCTGATGAATGAAATGTCTCGTTTTTCTACGAAGTATTTACACAGGTTGCGAACCAAGAAATTTCTACAAATATTATGCAAACGCGGTTCAACACCAAGGAGTGAATATGTCAGCTTATGATTCGTATTCTTAATTAGATTAACAATAAAAGTGCGCATCCAGAATGCACTTAGAGTTCCGATTTATTTCAATCAAGTCGGTTGGTGTTTTATAATCGCTAGAATTAAATATTTTCTTGGAAAACAGAAATGAAAGTTTCAACTTATCATGATATATTTGATTAAACGTGCCACATAAAAAAACAGGTCAATTTCAGCACCGTGAAGGAAATTTGAATTATTCCTTTATTTACAACAGCACCGTCAACACCCAGAAAGACATGGTCAAATAATCGTTCCAAGACGCGTTCGCTATGTTTGGTGTTTCTCTTTCCGTGTCTTAAGCCTAAAAATCATCAACTGAAGATGCTTTCTAATATTGCATCTGCCGTCGGGTAAATCCGGGAATATAGTACAAGAGACTGATAAAATTGACTAAACGTTTTACATCAATTTGTGATGTTTTATAATCTTGTGATTGAGTTCCTTTTCTCGTTCAGTCTTAGAAACTGATGAAAACAGCATAAGACAATCAGTTTTAAGAAAAAAGGTCACTTTTCAAAAATACAATGATTTTGAATAAGTGTTGTTCAAAATTATCCGGTTTACTTCGAAAATACTAAAGATGACTCAATGGTTTAGCTTTTCCTCGAAAATTTGAGACGAAATATAATTTCCACTGTGAAAAATATTATGATTTACAGTTTAGTATAAGGACATAACCATCTTCATTTTTTCTGGATGAAAAATAACAGAAAGTGAATTCTTGTAGGCGGCTAAAGATTTTCGTACGTGGTTTACTGAGCAGGCGGAACAAGAAAACTTCCGCAGTGTCGTATAATTCAATGTTTTATGTTTCTGTAACCCTTTCAGAGGAATAACCATACTACTTGTTTAGCGATCAAAAATTTAGGTCAAATATTACTCACCTTTTCTAGATCTTGCCCTTGAGAATTGGTAATAACAATGAAATAACAAAATGAAACACCAGCGATTTTTGTAAAAGGATTCTGAAAAGCTCACCAAGATGAAAAGTTTCTCTCTCTAGCTCTCGCTGCTTTGGGTATCATCTTTCACCTACACCAGGTGCCGTTTCATCTGTGAGTAACCTATATCTTGCTGAACTCTGGTATAAATGTCGATCGGCTGCTTGATGTTTTGATAGCCAGTATGATGGCTACAGACATAAAATGCGTCATTACTCTTTTTACGCATGGGCAGTGAGGGCGGTCTCTCATAACTATAATTTAAAAACTTAACGCTTCCTTAAACCTCTAGAAAAACCTATCTGGTAGCCAAATTATGCCATGTAAACAACATTTGATGGAATGAAATATTTCTCTCCGGCGATTTGGAATGCGAATCAAGTCTTTACTTCCTGTGTCTGGTTGGAACAGTTGGTCTGTTAGTTTAGAATCCGTTTTGTTGCGCCTATTAACTTTTATAACATCCTGTTTATAACTTTATGGAGGTTTTTTTTACTTCTCAAAGGCTGATAGCTGGGAGGAGTGACTGAGTTAGAATGGTGAAGGGGAGGACGGGGTGGGGGAACCGCAGAGCTATGGTCGACATTGCTTAAAGTCTCACTTTTTAGCCAGAAAATCAAGTCAAAAACACCCTCTCCGTCAAATTACTCCAAAATCTGGGCCTCTCTTTATTAATTTATGGAGTAACTCGCTAGTAAACATTGTAGCAGGGAAGCGAGTCAAATAATCTGTGATCAGTCCCCTCCCCCCCTCTCCATACCTAAAATTAAAAGCATGACTTTCTTTAGTTGGTACTGTAGAAAGTTAGCGAGAAAATTTTAATACAAACTGTTCAGTTTATCATTAAGAAATCTTTAAGTCACAGAATGCCAATGGCGGTGGTAAGTTGTGCGTAATAATACAATTCTACGGTTAGAATCTATATCTTAGCTAATTAGGCATTTATAAAAAAAAAAAACTCACCTGAAATAAACTCACATAGAACTTTAAAACTAAGTTACTACACGATGTAATTTCAAATAAATGTCGAGAACATTTTTTTTCAGTTACATAATCTATATGTTCAGTATCCAAGAGATTCTAAAACTCTTGTCAGTAACGTATAACATAAAAACGCTAGTTCCTGCAAACAAAACGTATAGTCAAGAGAATATCAATATCTACCTGCGGTGCTAGAAATAAAAAGTTAAGTTACCGGCTATAAAGTTTCCAGAAGGAAAGTTTCTGACACTGCGGATCCACAAAATTACCCCAAATACAAAGGCTTCTGTAGAGCACTAAATCCTTTTACAGTGATTCTCCAAAGAAGGAATTTATACTGCGTCTTAGTCGACCATGCTAATCGAATCTGAAAACAGAAACGGATACATGCAAGGCGATAATTTTTTTTTCAGCTTGAGCAATCAACCTAAAATGAAAAAAGATTTGGAATCTTACATCGATGCCTGATTGCGGTCACAATACGAGTAAGATGATAGAATGAGGGAGATTCAAATTGTGAGCTATGTTGTAGGATGGCAGAGGATGTTCGTGATTTGTGGGAGCGTGGAAAAAAGAAATAACACAATACACCACACGGATAACATCTTGGTCCAGTTCCGATTTCGTGGTCGCTCGCTTTTTGGGTTAACAACCGCGTTACAGCATTTTATTACACCCAATTTGAAATCACTGGTGGTCCCTGTAATCTGATTGGTACCGTGGCCGGTATGTACAAATTACGTACGTTATTTACACAAAACACATGCAAACTTATTAATTTGCGGACAAACTTAACAGAAAGCCAGCAAACTTAATAAAATGCACGCAAACTGTAAAAGCGGTAACAAACTTAATAAAGGACATGAAAACTTAACAAAATGCGTACAAACTTAATAATGGACAGCAAACTCAACAAAATGCGTACAAACTCAATAAAGGACATGCAAACTTAACAAAATGCGTACAAACTTAGCAAAATGTGTACAAATTTTAGGACAGGCAAGTAAACTTTAAAAATAGCACGCAAAGTTAAAATGAAACGCATTCAAACTAAAAATGAAAAGCGTAGAAAGTTAAAATTAAAAACACAAACTTAAAATGAGACACACAAACTTAATAAAACGCGCACAAACTTAATATGAGACGAACAAACTTAAAATAAAATACACACCGACTTGAAATGAAACGCCTACAAACTTAAGAGCAAACACGCACGCAAACTTAAAATAGAACGTACGCAAATAAGTCTGTGTTTTTCATTTGACCTTTTTATGCGTTTCATTTTTGGTTTGTATGTGTTTCACTTTAAAGTTGCGTTCTATTTTTAAAGTTTGCGTTCCTGTCATAAAGTTTGTACTGACGCATTTTGTTAAGTTTGCATGTCTATTTTTAAGTTTGTACGTATTTTGTTAAGTTTGCATGTCCATTATTAAGTTTGTACGCACTTTGTTAAGTTTGCATGTCCTTTATTAAGTTTGTTAGCGTTTTCTACAGTTTGCACGCATTTTATTAAGTTTGCTGGCTTTTTGTTAGGTTTGTCCGCAAATTATTAAGTTTGCATGTGTTTTGTGTAAATAACGTACGTAATTTGTCCTTACCAGCCACGGTAGATTGGCTCTACTTGGTGCGATTTATTCATGATTCGCACCATTTTTTGCTCTAAATCGCATCATTTTACGCTTGACTGAGTTTTTGACACATGACGTCAAAGTCTTTCTGTTTTGGATACAAAATAAGATGGAAAAGCGTTTCCGGTTCCGCTTTTTATTTAAAAGCCGGCTCAGTACTTCATCAGTAAAATATTTGAATTGACCAAGTCCTGAATTTGGGCGATTTCAAAATGGATGTAATAAAGTGGTAATTGAACCTCGTGTCATGCAATTTTGGTCTGAAATCATACTTGTGATTTCAAATCGAACTCGCGCTGCGCGCTCGTTCGATTTTGAAATCATGCGTATGATTTCAGCCCAAATTGCACTCCACTCTGTTCAATTACCATTTTAAATCAATACGTCACTGGAAATGAGCGATGGATCTAGTGTATGCGGTTTTGCCTATAGCAAGAAAATTTCATAACACCCTTGTCCATCAATTTATCAAGTAATTGCTAAAAAAAGAAATCTGCTTAAAAGCTCTTGCGTCCTCGGGTCACGAAAAAAATTCCTCTCCCATTTGCAATCGTGCGCTTTGTGCAGTGTATCTGTTTTGATTATTAACAAAATATATTGGCGCTCAAAGGTTCACAAAGTTTGGCAATATAAGGAAATCAAATGTTAATCTCTCTACCACAAAAATCCGGGAAGAGAACTGTTATAAAAACCTCGGTGGGAGGCGGGGAGGGGAGAGGAGGAAGTCGGCTCTTAAATACAACCTGTTAATTGAATTACTCAAATGAACCGACCAAATGGCGTCTTACTTGGAAGATTTCGTGCCATCGAAAAACGCCCTCTTGAACAATTCATGATGAATTGCTTATGCCACGAATACTTTGTAAAAAGAAAACTTCATGAAGGATAAATTACCACGGGATGAAGGGCTGTTATTAAGGGTCATTTTTAATTACTGGCGTATAAAGCTTTGTTGTTAAGTAGTTGCGTGGCATCGACAGAATAATTTCTACGCTGATAGCTTCTGTGCATAATGTCTAAAAAAGGCTTCCGTGTTGGTTCTTTTCGATCGAAAATCATTCGGTCGTAAAGCAGTCTAATTATCATTCAAAGATGACGATTCCAGAAAGCGTTCTACTCGACGCATTTTAAATGATGTAAAATTATATTTTTCTAAGTTTTTGCGAACGACAGAATTTCAACCTTTCGATTTTAAAATAACTCCCACGCTTTAACGTTAATGTCCAAGACATTGTAGTCGGTTAAATACCTCCCACTCCAATTCATCCATCGCATGAAAACACCCTCAAGGGATCTAAACTAAAAAAATCGATAACATTTTCGAAAGTCAAAACATCATTGTTTGCATAGCGATTAATTCAAAAGGATCGCAAACGTGTCCACATAAGTATAAACGCAATAACCTTGTGGAAAACTTTTTCTCTCGATGATGTAAATGCAAGTTTCAGACATTGAAAAGCACTTGAAACCATTAGGAAACCTTTTACCGTTAATCTCCGTCAATTGTCTAAAAAGAATTTTAAGTGCCCGCTTGCACGAAATGAAAATTCCATCCACAGGAGAAACAATTATTTTACTTTAGTTTGATATTATTAAAATCAGAAATGATCTCACACTTATGTCTTTTAAAGTCTGAGTTTGGCTGATACAAGAGCACTGAACTGAGTAGGCCTCAGATATGTCTTCAGGGGGTAGGGCATGATGTTTTCTTTACCTTTTCCGCGTGTAAAGCTACGGCTTTGGTTCTCTGTGCGGATGCGTTGATAAAAGAGATTAATCTGAAAATGAAGTTAACTTTTGTAATAGCAAAATTGGGCAGATTGTCAGTCAAGGCTAACATTTGAAGCTGAAACTGAATCGAACCTAGGAAACTTTGATCAAATATCTAAATAATTCTCAGGTCTCATTTTACTCCTTCCTTTCATTATTTATATCAGTTATTTCAAAATAAGATGTCACATGTATCTTTCGGCTTTTACAAACGTTTGTAACAAACTTAGTAACCAAACCAGCCGTTCCTCTTTTTTGGTTTATTTGCGATGTTTGTTTCCAGTTTGCTCGTGATTGGCCCTGAAAAGACACATTACATTATATCTTTCTGTTACCGTTGAGAAATGTCTCCGTTTTGATCAGTCCTCAGCGCGATGAATTGAATGGAAAAACCGCAATTTCCGGCCTTTACTCAATTCCAGTTTTTCCCGAGAGTCAGCCGGATCATTTTAAATTTTATTAGAAATTTATTTTTGTTAGAAAAATGAATTTTCCCAGTAGCGACGTATGCAAATTGGAAAGAAAAGATGAGTGCCAACTGACTATTTG